GTAGGGCCCACAGATGGCTAGTACGGCTATGGGCTTGCTGACGGTTTTCAGCAGCTCTAGTGCTTCGGGCAAGAGTTGCAACTTGGGGTTTGCCTCGTCCTCTGCAACTACTGGGAAAAGTGTTCCTTCCTCTTTGTTCCATTGATAGTTGCTCTGATGAACGAGAGGAATGGCGGTAGGCAACTTGGAGGAGCCACGTGGGAGATGGAGATCTAAAGGGCGAAACATCGGGCTTGACAGAAGGAAGAGGACGGGGGTGGGGTCCAACAGCACACATGAACGCGCATGCGCGGTTTTACTAGACAATCATGTGACACGACCCTGTTGTTTGTTGTGGCGAATTAGAAGATGGATTTTCCGTCTGAAGTGTGTACAGAGTGCTTCGAAATAAGTGGTAAAAATAAAAGCGAAGTACCTCGTTTATTGGCATCAAAGTGTTTAGAGAAAACACGACATAAGTGTGTGACGGTACGAGTGCGGGAGGTGGATGGTGTCTTGGAGCCCGAAATCCGTCCGGTACCCCGGGCACATTTCAAAGGAGAATTTTTACTCTGCGATCCGGAGAAGTGCCGTCGGTTGAAAAAGGGTGAAACGTGTAATTTCCCTCACTGCTTCAAAGAGAAGGCAGCATGGAATGCCGAAAAGTTCGGGGTTATCGCCTTTCTGTCGCTGGTAACCAAAACCCCGACCTCTCCTCCGTCTACTCCTATAAAGATAGGTATTTACTCATTACAGTACACCATACACAGCAGCAAAAGTGTCACAGTTTGTCCCTCCTCCGTTTTTTTTCAGGCTCAAATTCAAGTATCAAAGATGCGCCAAAGCCAAAGGTAGCAATATAACGTAGCTGCATAAAAGTATTTCTTCTGTCTCTCTGTTTGTCTGTTTGTTTGTTGACGGCTATCTTGGCACTACAGGCTATGAGGCGGCCTATAAGCAATATGTGAACCTGAAAAATGGCGATTTTCCTGAAACGACCGCGTTCGAGAGATAAGAATGAATGGTGTCCAAGGGGTCATAAATTAACTGTGATCGAAGTTTTTTTCCCAATGTATATCTGGGTGCATACGCTTGCACCACTGCCTGGTTTGGGCAGCATCCCTTTTGCGTCCCTCACGCTTCCCTGTGGCGCATCCCGATCATTTAAATATGTACTTTGCCACTGGCATGTGTGAACCTGGTTTAGAGCCTATATAGCTTCTCCTGTAGGTCAAGCCATAGTCTTGTGCCCAGACCCTCACGTTCTCCTGCACGAAAGAGGGTCTGGGATATGGCGTCGAATTTCTTGGTTGTGCCGAGTCAGCATGTTCGGAAAACGTGTAACTCAATCAGGTTGCTAAGAGTAGCGGTCTCTCTGGGCGCATGTGCAGATCTATGCAGTGATCAAGAAGCAAACCGATAACTACCGATAACTATCGCGTTGTGTTTCGCAATTTCGGTACACATGCTGACTCAGAAATTCGGTGTTGTATACCGGACCCTCTTTCGCGCAGGAGCACGTGAGGGTCTGGGGACGAGACTAGTCAAGCCAGTAACTTGCTGACATGGTGGATTGGGCCATAGCAATGTAGCCAGCAGGCACCTAGCACATAACAAGAAAGTGATATTGGAATCAAAGAGGTGGAGCTTTAGACAGCTTTTTTCGGGCTTGTTAAAAGATAGCATACCACACTCCTCTGCAGAGCTGCCAGTAGTGCAACACTTGTGGCCATGAGATTCATCCCAACAAGGCTTTGCCATTGGCATGTGCCGACCCTGTTCATAGTCTTCCCCACTCTAAGACCAAACTGTGGGACAATGACAAACACTTACATAAGTGCAGACCCTCGACGCAATAGTGCTTATATAGCTATGTGCGGTACGCATAAGGCACTGCTATTTGATGGATCAGGCCACGTGACACGCCCAACCCTTGTCTTAGCCCCAACCCCTTCCTTTGAGGGAAGGGGACAACTCTTAGCTGTTTGCGGAACTTGTGTTTTAATTGGCCGTAATTGGTGTTGTGATAACTTTATCATGAATATCATTATGGCTGCACAGAAGGCTATACTTTGGCTGCATTTCAGCATTCCAGCTGCTGCCAATGTGCACATGACGGTTAGGAGCATGCGCCAGTAGGTGGCGAGCATGCATTTGGGTGGACCGACCACGTGGTCGTCATTATTGCCAGATACAGCCGTCGGTGCGAGATCGTGCTCTCTTGCTGCTGATTTTTTTGTTTCCGTCTCTCCACCCATTTCCGGGGGTGTGATCATGACTGGTGGCAGGGCAGGGGTGGAGCCTAAATGAGGTGGCTCCACCTCCAAGAGGGAAATACCCCTAACACACCCACCTGCCCGACGAGACCTAGTCCTTTGGCCAACATCCCCAATGGGCTCTGCCCATGCTAAGGGATGAACGTGTAGGTGACCTGGGGTGGGACTGGGCATGGGGCTATCCTACAAGGTTAGGTGAGTTAACTAAGCAGACTTAACTAAGCAGACTCTCCCCGCACAATTAAGGAAAAGGGCTTTTGCCATGGATAAGTAGAGGGAAATTAACAGCCTAGGCTGCTTTTCTTTGCCTATAATTAAGATGGTATGCTCCTGCTTGCAAAATGCTCTGCATTTACCTATGAACCGGGTGAAGCACTGATGTAATATAAAATCCACCACACATGTGGAAGTTACCACTTATATTTGGTGATTTGTTCAATTGTCTTATCCACCACACAAGCATAGTGCTATTGCCATGCCAGCGCTTGCACATGTGACATTGTATGCATACTTGCTTTTGACCCATTGCTGTGGTGGAGGACCACATGTGAGCATGCACATGGCCCAAATTGTCATGATGCCAAGTCAGTATGTCTCAACAGTGGAAGGAGTAAAAAGCATGAAGATACTATGTCTTATACGACTAGGAGTTGGTGTGTGAGGCTGTGGTCATGCTTGAAACCCATGAAATCCTAACCCCTGCATTTTAATACATATACACATATACACATGTACAACATGTATGTGAGCTCACATCACGTTACACTGACGGATATTTTATATGGACGAGGCCAACTTAATAAAAAAAAATTTGTACAATTCTCGAGCTTCAGCTTTTGTGCCTTTCTTCTGCATTGTCCGCACCTAGAATTCCAATGCCAAGCGTACTATATACCTTATCTCAGGATCTCTGGCCAGATTTTCATGGATTTGGAGCCAAAACTCTTGAGGAGCTTAGAAAAGACCATCATCAAGTAACTGCCTCAGCAACATCTGGTGCTGCTGAACACAATGTTCTGCAAGTTACCAGCAACACTTCTGCTGTCATTCCTCGACAAGAACTTCGACCATTGACCGTTGATACAAGCCGTCCTCTTGTTCCTTGGCAACCTCCCGACCCAGTCACTGCCTCTCCTCAACGTCAGCCATCGCATGAACATCGACCATTGACTGTTGATACAAGCCGTCCTCTTGTTCCTTGGCAACCTCCCGACCCAGTCACTGCCTCTCCTCGGCGGCAGCCATCATATGCACACATTGCATCTGGAAAAGCTAGAACAAGCAGCCTGTCACCATCACAGACACAAACTGCTCAGGCCATTTCATCACAACAAAGTCCTGTACGACCAAGGCAAATGTCGCAGTCTTCCCCAGTACAACAAATTTCTCCCCAGTCTAGGCAAACACTGCCAGCATCAACACCACAACAAGTTTCTCTAGAGTCAAAGCATGCACTACCAGCATTCCCGCCGACAAGACGTCAACTACGGACATCTTTACTGCAACAAGTTCCTCTTCGGCCAATGCAAAAGTCAGCATCGCTACCACAAGAAATGCCTCAAGCACCAAAGCAAGCAGTGGTTGGATCCCCACCACAACTGGAGCCAAGGCAAACACTTTCAGCATCCCAACCACAACAATTGGGCAAAAAAGCGTGGAAAACATTACCATTGACTTCTCTACAACAGAAGCCTATAGCCATACCACAAGCCAAACACAGCCCTGCAACAGGAAAGAGAGAAAGGCACTCACATATTCTTCACCAACCCCTTGCAACTGGCACTTACCATCACAGGTTCAATGAATTACTCAAGCTGGAAGAAATGGCTCATGCAGAGCTACTAAATGACAGGTTAGTCTGATATTGCTATTCTCTGATGTTTGGAATGACATCATAGGACATATGCATGAATAATGAGAATGTGCCTCAATATTTTACCAGGAATCCATAAGCCATAGGCATACAATTCTGCATGCAAGATTGCACTGAGTGGTAGCTGTTTAGTTTCTATTTAGCCTTCACTGTATGGCCATTGAAAGTGTTGCCAATGCATGATGTTGCTGTTATATTTTACAGGTGTGATGGAAAGTATAAACTGTGCCTACTTCCAGCTGGGCAAACTCCGGGGGAGGTTAGGGTTGATGCAAAACCGGTCCATTTTAGATTCGGCTACATCAAGGGAATGGGTTGTGATGAGGTGGGTTATGCTACCCAGTCAGCTAGTGGAGCAGTCGTTACGATGGGAGGCGAAAATATCAAGTGTGATATTCTTCGAGAAAACATGTACCATTCAGAAGAACGACTGTATATTGCTTTCACTAAAGAGGTCAAGCAAATGCTCCTCGCGTGTGTAGGAAATTCAAGAACTGCCTTTATATCTCCGACTCCCCTTGCAATTCAGTTCCTGTTAAAATACTCGTACTTTCGCTCACTTAAAAATGCAATTCGGGATGTCCCAAAAAATGTCATTTCACGCATTCTACCTCAACGTTCTAGCTTTCCGCAAACACTGACATTAGAAAACAGCACGCGTTCCCTTGAAACCTATTGCTCCTCTGACCAGTACGAAGCTCTAAAGATAATTGCTTCAACACCTGCATCCGGTCCTCCTGTTCTCATTGCTGGACCCTTCGGCACCGGTAAGACTCGAGTCCTTGCAATTGCTGCACACTACTTTCTTCAGAAAAGTGTGCAAGACGGGAATCGCCTCGCTATATTGGTATGTACTCAGCAACACGTGTCAGCAGATGCCTTCCTTCGAATGTACACTGACCTCACCCCTGGAAAAGAAGATATTACAATCATTAGACTCATTCCTATATATTACCACCAGAGAAACGACTTCATGAAACATTTCTACAGAACAGTGGATAATTTTAGAAAGGATATGGAGCGAAACTCCCACCGAAATCGTTTACGCTATCTCATTGTCTCGACATGCCTAACGGCCAAGCGTATTGGGGAATATCCCCCAGTTCTTCCTTCGTGGTTTTTCACACACATCTTTCTAGATGAGGGGGCGCAGATGAGGGAGCCTGAAGCAGTAGCCCCTCTCTGTATGGCAGATGAAAATACAAAGCTCGTGATCGCCGGTGATAGGTTTCAGGTAATTTCGACAACATGCCTTAGTTTGCTCGTACGTATGTCCATTGTGTGTAGCCAATAATATAGCTATAGCATAAACATAATTATTTATTGGCATTTTCAAGTACCTGTGAAATATGACTTGCTGGATTTCACTAGGTTGGTCCAGGAATGCTGGTGTTGGGGGAGGAGCCACAGAAGTACGGTCTCTCCGTATCTCTCCTGGAGCGGCTCTATGATCTCTACCAGGATCTGGGAGACGTAGCAAAACCCTACTGTGCCCATCTCTCCACCAACTTCAGATGCCATTCTGCAATCCTCAACCTGGCTCGGCAGGTGGCCTACAAAACAACCCTGAGGTGCAATGTTCCTGACCTTTCAGCTCATCCAGATGCGCCATTTCCACTGCTCTTCGTGTGCACCAGTCTTGACCACAATGTCAAAGAAACAAAGGACAGCCTCTCAAAGGTTGAAGTTAATGCTGCCCTTAATAAAGCTTCCCAGATTTTCATGAAATGGCCGGACAGCACATGGGGAAAAAGAGATCTCAGAGAGATATGCTTTCTTTCTCCTTGCAGGGGACAGGTTTGTGATGTATTATTGCTGCATCCAGTTAATGTATTTATTCTCCTTTCTCCTGTTGATATCAGGTTACTCTTGCCCGCGACATAAGAGATAAGAATTTGCCTCCACAAGTGAGAAGCGTTCGAAAACTGGCTACCTATAACATTCAAGGTTAGCATATGGATACCCTTGCATGCAAGTTTGAATAAGCCTAATGTACCAGTTGGTATATAGCATATACAATGTTTGTTGCATTTTGACCTTTGTTGTGTTTCCACATAACTAGGTCAAGAGTTTAGGGCACTGTTCATAAGCACCTCAGAGCCCACTACGCCAGACGGAGAAACGCGCGATGCCACAAAGAGCATCTCAGACCCAGCAGTCTTCATTACTGCCATCACTCGGGCCAGATCACTGGTGGTGGCTGTGGGGAACCCATTCATGCTACTCCGGAGGGAAGAGCACATGGTGAAGAAGTACGGAGACCGTGGCCACTGTTGGAGCCACTTCCTTAAGGCCTGCATTGACAACGGAACACTCTCAGTCTACCATTCATCTGAGAGCAGGTCTGCTCTCTTAGAAAAGATGGTAAATGAAAGAGTCTCAAAACTTTACATACTGGAACCAGTCCAGAGTTCAGGTTAGCTTCCTGTATTTATTTTTAACATGTGTGTATAATATAGTCATATTTACGTTTTAGTTAATGCGACTTTTGAGACAGCTCCAACAATTGATATTGTTCCAAGTACACCCACACAGGTACCTATTTTCTTCTCAGTAGCTAGGTACATATATATACCTGTACTTATTTCACACAGGCTACACAGTCAGCTGCTGTTGTTCAACCTACTGAAGAAAGGTCATCAATGTCTAATGAGTGAGTTGATGAAATTCTACTTGCGTAAAGAAAAAATTTGACAATGAATGGCATATAGGTTCAAAGACTACGTTGTGAAAGAAGAATTAGGAAAAGGCGGATTTGGAGTTGTTTGTCGTGTGCAGTACAAGATTGACAGGAATGAATATGCTCTCAAAATTGTTAGAATTAAGGACAAGTAAGTAATACTTGCAGAGCCATGTCTGTCTGAGGTTCAGAGCTTGGTACTCACCTCCAGTCCAGAAAAGGTGGAGCGAGAAGTCAGGGCGTTGGCAAAACTAAGCCACCCCAACATCGTTCGTTACTACCACTCCTGGAAGGAAAAAGCACCAAGAAATTGGCAACATATTTCGCCATGGAAATACCTCCCGAGCAGTGACTCTGCGTATGCAAGTCTTAAACGTTTTTCTCATCATGTGTAGAGCTCTTAATTTCCAGATCCTATCCGAGTGAGAGACTGACAGGAGAAACTGTGAGCCAGGCAGACGCCCAAGAAGCCAGTGCAAACATCAGTCCACAAGTCAGCTCTCATTCGTCAGGGCTGGCAACACAAGATGATTCTGATTCAAATGTTACATTTCGAGACTCTTCATCTGACACGCAGCAGTAAAGAGTACACTTAGAACTACAATACCCTCCCTGAGAGTTTGAATGAGTTTTGTGGCCCCATGCTTAAATAAATACTTCAAAGTATAAACCTTCAGTGCAATGAACGTGCACGTGTAGCGTTGATGTGAACTTTATGCATGCACTTTTATGGGCAGTGATTTTAGCTCTAACAAAGACTAGCTCTATCAGTGAGTAGCGAGCGCTTACAGCAATGCTGGACTATCCCTCAAGTAACTTTATCCCTCAGCGATGCGCTGAATGGGCTAAACCTAGTTGAGGTAAACCAGTGCTTATCGTGCAGCTTAGCTTTTCGTGTGGCCTGTAGTACCAGAATAAGTGTCGACAGACAGACACACAGCAGACAGTCAAACAACCCTCGCTCCACATGTGCAGCGAGGGTTAACAATAAGTCACATGTTTGCTTACAGTTTGTATCCTGAGGGAGGAATGAGGCTTGATCCACAGCCGCCAGTCTGCCTGTGTATCAAGACAGAGCTGTGTCACAAAGAAACACTGAAGTCATGGCTGAACAAGAACAAAGATAACAGACGTCGGGTTGAAATCACAAACTGGTTTGTGGAGGTACATTAGAAATGGCGTCACAAATTGCACCGTTTTATACAAGTATTATACAGTTACTGGAGGGTGTGAAGTTCATTCATAGTCAAAGCCTGATGCATAGAGATCTGAAGCCTTCCAATATCTTCTTCTCCATATCACCCACTGACAGCGAAAGGAACATAAAAATTGGTGACTTTGGTCTTGTCACTACATCACAAGGTATAGTTGAAACTAGCTGCAATATCCTTAATGTACCACATTTATATCCAGGTTCTTTTGGTGAAGCTGCACCCCCAAAAAGTCAATACGTGGGCACAAGTTTCTATGTCAGCCCTGAGCAGGAGCAGAAAATACCTTATGGGAAGAAGGTTGACATTTATGCATTGGGCATCATTTACTTTGAAATGAACTGTCCTTTTGGTACTGAATCAGAACGCTGCAAGGTATGATGAGAAGTATTCTCTCTTCTAAACTTTATTCCAACTCTTGTTTTTGAAGGTCCTTAGTGCATTGCGCAGCAAAGGAAGTTTCCCTCCAGCCTTTGAGGTCAATCTTCCCCTTGAAGTAAGTCATAACATCTCTGGCAGTAATGTACGTGTAATTATGCATTCTTTAGGCTGGCATTATACAGTGGATGTTAACTGAGGACCCAGGCCAACGGCCATCAGCTGAAACAATTGCCTCAAGCCCAAGAAAGAAGAAGCTGGTGAAGAATGCAAAGACAAGACAGAGTAAAGCCACCATTCCTCGACTCTAGAGTGATAGGCCCTGGCATAATTAATATTGTTCCTAAATTTCTTTCCCACACTTTCCCTCTATTTTTCAACAAATCTACTCAATAATGAAAGTGAATTTGTCGTCAGAAGAGAATATCACACGTTTGAGAGATGCTAATAACTTGCTTTGGGAATGTTTTCAACATCCCCAAGTTCAGCTTTGCGGCTTAGACTAAGCTTAGCACTGCAGATTTTGCTGCTCTACTTGGTCCATTACTCATCTAGCTCTCCATTACACATTTTCTAGCGAACATTTTGGTTGTCCTGGGAATATGGCTATGCTCACCTGCTTCGATTTTGTAGCTAGCTTGCCGCAATCGCTAGAATATGAACTATTGATTTTCATTGTGTATACCCGTTTTCCTAAAAGGAAATTTATGTCCCAATCATTTTTAAAGTGATCTCCGGACCGGCTAAAGGTTTCATACTAACAGGTGTTTCATGTATAGAAGTTGAAAGAAAGCTCATTGCTTGATGACCGTGTGCACATCTCTGGAGACGTTTATTGAAACACTCAGCGCCTCAGCTGTGGCGGGTTTGAAGAAGAGGAAGAAGAAGAAGACGACGATGATGATGATTTATGATGCATACCTACCAACCTGCAGATAAACCTTTGCTTGAGAAATGTGTCAAATTTGCTTGATTTGGAGTATTTTTGCTTGAAAATGCTGCATGTCCATTCACAATGTATGGGCATAGTGCATCACAGATTAGCACAAAAAAGAGGGATTTTCTGGTGGAATAGGCAGTATTTTTGCTAGATTATCAAGCAAAAAGCTGGATGGTTGGTAGGTATGTGATGATGATGATGATGACTCGCAGGATCTCGCCGCTAGTTTTAGTCACCCGGATCACGTGAGATTTGCCCTAATAGAGAGTGCGTATGTATACTGCGCGCACACTCTTATCAGAGCGTCGGTAGACTAGCTATATAGGGATGACACGGGTGAAATCTCACGTGATCCGCGTACAAAACGCCTCAAAACTTGGCGAGAATGACTCACCATTGCTTGAAAATCACTAGCAATAGTCTACAGGCCAATACCTAGCTATACATACTCCCCAAGACTTCCTACGTGCCCTCAGTTCCCCACGAGAGAATTGGCTCTTACGCGATTTCACGATTTTCGTGTCATCATCATCATCATCATCATCATATTCTTCATCTTCCGGTTTCTTTTTCAGTAAACCCGCTATCTCGTTACCGAAAATAGTTGAAGTGCTGATTTTTCCATCAAACATTTCCAGATTCGCCAGAGGTGTGCACGGACATCAAGCGATCGTCTCTTTCTTGCCGCAAGTCACTACGGTAGATCGTTGAGCTCCTCCACGGTAGTCACTGAACAACGCCATTTTTGCTGCTAACTCAGCATCAGTTAGCCGCATGCGCCGAGGAGGGCGTTTCCCCAAAGCGGTGCGCGCGCATTCTCGTGCGTGAACCGGGTCTACGAGACTAAGCCAGGATGCCCGCAGAGGAACTCTTATCCTCCAGTGCCTTCTGTAAGTCAGTATACACATTTTTAACTGGCTAGCTTGCTTTTAGCTGTTGATTTGCACGTGGCAGTCTGCGCCGGGTTACGCGAGCCTTACAAATTAGCCTTCTTTCTTTGTCCCCCGGGTAGCTAGCTAATAGCTATATACCATTACTGAAGCCTGCCCATGAAATCGCCACCGTGTGCCACCATCTGATTATTGCGTCCTTGTTGGCCTGGAGACACTACGCGTACATCCCGGCTTCAGGCGCAGCAGCCCATTAGCTACTGCTTTCATCAGTTATCTCTACAACATACCCATGAACATCAGGTGACATCAGTGTTGTCATAAGCAGTTAAAAATAGTGGAAACAAGTGGAAAAATCATTTCTTCAAAATGAAAAGGGGATATAGGGATGGCTTGAAGCACCAAAAAGGAACAAACAAGGGGTCATTACACGGCAAGGTTGCACAAAGCTACATGACACCATCCCTATATCTTTGTTGTTATGCGGCTCTGCAATAGAGGTTGTCTTGCATGTATATTTAGCTCAAGGGAAAGTTTGCTTATAAACAATAAAACAAAGATATAGGGATGGTGTCATGTAGCTTTGTGCAACCTTGCCGTGTAATGACCCCTTGTTTGTTCCTTTTTGGTGCTTCAAGCCATCCCTATATCCCCCTTTCATTTTGAAGAAATGATTTTTCCACTTGTAAAACCGTCTGCAGTTAATTGTTTTCTTCAGCTATCGTTGTTGCATGCAGAGTTCACAAGAATGGCAGACAAAGATCGCACTACTAGCGCATTCGCAGGTGTCCGCTCACTGCACCCGCTGGTAGCGGGCCACATGTGCAAACAAGGGACGCGAACTTTCGTATTTGCAAAGCGATACTTCGCCCTCTACGACGGTGGTCTGCTGGCGTACTACAACCACGAGCGAGACTACACGAAGGACGTGAAAAGGCACAAAGGAGTTGTAAGAATAAAATTATAATAATACCGTGTTTATCTATCTGTAAAAACTTCTGTTTGGATTTTTATGCAGCCTCTCAACTGTACACTGGTAAAGCTAGACGGTGCGTATGTGACCCGACCCAAGGCTTCTCCTCACAGGATAAAGCATTGCTTTATCCTACACGCACCAGAAAAATCTAACCATAGAGAGTAAGTGTGCCCTAGCTCTGCTTGAGAAGTGTGAAATTAATTTATGCTTGTGAAATGCTGCGTGGTTCTTTAAAATGTATATATGAGCATAAGGCATTCCACATTCTCATAAAAAGTGAGATGGGCAGTATAATTGCTTGATTTTCAAGCAAATAATTACCAGTAGAATGAGCAGTAGAGGGCAGTAGAATGATCACTAGAATGGACGGTAGAATGGCAGGAATTGCAGTAGAATGGACAGTAGAATAGCAGTAGAAGGATCACTTAGAATGTACTGTAGAATGGACTGTAGAATAGCAGAAGAATGATCACTAGAATGGACTGTAGAATGGACAGTAGAATGGAAGTATAATTGACAGTAGAATGGCAGTAGAATGGCAGTAGAATGTCGACTTTAGCCAGGGCTGACAGGGGCTCAACGACCTGACAGAGGCTCCACGACTTGAGTCAGGGTCTCTACGAGTTGAGGCAGGGCTGCCAGCGGATCTGGGACCTGAGGCTGTGTAAAATTCTCCTGCCATTCTAGTACACATTATACTCTCCATTCTAGTGCTCATTCTACTGCCATTCTACTGCCATTCTACTGCCATTCTAGTAGAATGAGCAGTAGAATGGATAGTATAATGTGTACTAGAATGGTAGTAGAGTGGACAGTAGAAGGGAAGAGGAAATGGACAGTAGAATGTGTAGTATATACAATGGCAGTAAAAGGAGCACTAGAATGGATAGTAGAATGGATAGTAGAATGGATAGTAGAATGGATAGTAGAATGGATAGTAGAATGTGTACTAGAATGGTAGTAGAGTGGACAGTAGAAGGGCAGAGGAAATGGACAGTAGAATGTGTAGTAGATTGGCAGTAGAATTAGCACTAGAATGGATAGTAAAATGGATAGTAAAATGGATAGTAGAATGTGTACTAGAATGGTACTAGAGTGGACAGTAGAAGGGCAGAGGAAATGGACAGTAGAATGTGTAGTAGATTGGCAGTAGAATGATCACTAGAATGATCACTAGAATGATCACTAGAATGGACAGTAGAATGGCAGGAATTGCAGTAGAATGGACAGTAGAATAGCAGTAGAATGATCACAAAGCGAATGCAACTCATTCTAGTGCTCGTTCTACTGCTAAATCTACTGAAATTCTACTGTCCATTCTAGTGATGAGCCCCTGTCAGCCCTTGCTAAAGTCGTTGAGCCCCTGTCAGCCCTGTTGAGCACTAGAATGGACAGTAGAATCGAAAGTAGAATGGCAGTAGAATGGACCGTAGAAGGGACAGTAGAATGTGTAGTAGAATGGATACTGGATGGTTGGTATAGGTATGCAAAGACAAGTGAATGTCATAATGAATGGCTCGTGTGAAAGAAGGCAGCTATGTCTGGTTGCACGACTTTGTGCTAGGAATCTTTGATGTGTTGTGCACACCTGTCTATATAATAGGAGCAGCTGTTGTTTAAGAAATGTTTTCAGAGCCTACAGAGAGGTCTCCAAACAGAGACATTAAAAAATGGCTTCATTGCTTTTGCTTCTTATTGCAATTCATTTACGTCAAACCCTCTGGGATAAAGAAACAGCACAACCTCCTATGCAAATATTTTTCTGCTAGGGGCCTTATTAAAAATCGGCAAGAAATCCTAGCTCTGTCTCTATTATAACTCACTGGCCAATCTCCATAGCTATAGCTAGTAGCTACATGCACAAAAGTTTCTGTGCCTGAATTTATGATGGTGGTTATACTCATCATGCACAGCATACAATCTTGTAGATGCTCAGCTGCACAGCAGGGGGTGTGAGTGAAGTTGAATTGTGTGGTATAGTATTTAGCGAACACAGTTTGAGGGCTGGTAGCTAGTTGCGAATCTTTAGCCTATAGTAGGTGACTTTCTACATACCATAACTCTACAGCATTATGCTTTTTGCAGGATTGTCTATTAAGCAACTGCATGAACATACCAATGTTAGGTGCCATGCGACTTGTTTCTCTTTGTTGCAGTGGGTTTCTCCTGGTGTGCCAGAAAAAGAAAGACATGAACATATGGATTGAGCACCTTGTGGCCCAGAACACAAACGCGGCTCTCACAGCTAGCATCAAGAAGCAGAAGATCCACCCCTACATCCTGAGACTGAGGCTCCAAAACTCTACTAATGGAAGCCTTGGACCAAGAAAGTGGCACTCTATCTCTGACCTGAACTCAGACTGGCTGAAGAGAGCCAGTTACACCGGGACCCCCGGAGAGGTCGCCTCCACTTTTCACGTGGCCTCTGAAACAAAGATGTTAGAGTCACCGAACTAAAAGAGAACAAAATTGCCAAACTCAAGCTAATGTACATATCAGCCATAATAGTTTGCAGTGTGAAGTGTATTGATAATAGGTTGCTATACTCCACGTACTAGTGAAAGGTGGGCACAACATTAAGCAAGAATAATGTGGCTATACTGTCTCATTGACATTGTGGATGCTAGGCACAGTTTGTTCTAAAACTCTATCTCCACAAATCGCGCAATTTAGCAATGCAAAATAATTAATGCATCATTGAGAGCCCAGCGTAGTATTATACTGCCTTCCTCTTCCCTGGACTCAATGATGCATTATTTAAATTAATGCATCATTGAGTCCAGAGAGGAAGAAGGCAGTATATATATACTATTCTGATAGCTATATGCACGTCGCAAATGACATACTATGCACAGCTTGGGACATTTGCATCATTAACTGTGCACTGCACCAGCAAAGTGCTATGACAGGATCGATCTTCATATATAATTATTATTACACACAGAATACAAAATAATGTGGTAAATTTAAGCACTGATGGTGGAGCCTGAGCTGTTGAGACTTTGAGCATCCGGACTTCGAGGGACGTAGCGTTCCTCCAGATTCCCGACATCGCCCGTGGCCTGCATGATGTGATAGGCCACCGTCCCACCCACAATCGGAGCTCCCAGCGTGGCAAAGAACGGGATACTCACACACGCCGCGGCAGCCTCCGCAGCTTTCTTGGAGTCTAGCGTGAGAGCAGGTACACCTACCGTCGCGAGAAGCGGTGCAACAGCTGTACCACCCAGGAACCCGATGGCTGATAGAATGGTTCGTTCGAATTTCCCGAGTCGCGTGCCACCTTTGAGCCCCTCCTCTCGAGCCTTTCGCAGCATTTCCTCGATGTTCCTCTTGACCCTCTCTGCCTCCTCGTTCCACGACGACACCCGGAACTCGTATCTCGTGTTTGACTTCAACTTTCTCACAATGTGCCACTGCTCGGACGTCTCTGTGGATTTCTGCCACGCATTCTTCCCCGCCTTCCTGAACTCCACGATGTACCTTGTATGTCAGCAGGGCGGCTCTGTGATCCGGGGATGAGAGAAGGGACCTCCTTAGAATGGAATCACATACAGAGTTGTGCCTAAGGATTCTATCACCGTTCCCCCCGCAACCGACCTGGTGGTCACCAAAGGGGTCAGCAGCTGAGTGGCAAACGCCGCATTTCACCCCCTCCTCAAAAAATCGGGACCCCCAACCAATATTGTAGGCAAACCCGGAACTCACGATCCATAAAGTGAAGGCCGAGGGAAGGCGAAGGAACAGCGTTCAGCCAATCACCAGCATGGGGGAGAGAACACGATTGGGCAAGGGCCAGAGAACGGGTGTCAGGGGCGGAGGAGAGAAGAAGGTCGAAAGATTCCTGGTCAATTTCGTATGAGAGGGAGCGTTGCCGGAGGGGGACATCGATGTCCTGTAGAGAGCGAGGGATCCAATGAAAGCTGCAGGAGCATGGAGGGGGGCCTGACGGAGATTAAGGCCACCCAGAGAGACAGGCAGCGACGCTTTCAACCAGCTCCAGTCAGAGATGGGGCCCCCACAGAGGTCTTCCAAGGAGTCCCGCATGATGTTGTCAAAGGCTGCAAGTGCAGGATGAATCAGGTTAGGGGCACAGGTGCGGAGAGTGAAGGAAATTTTGGGGAGGGAGAGGCAGGACCGCAAGAGAGCGGTTTCCATTTGGGCATCTTGGAGGTCCCTCAAATTCACGAGGGTGTCCTGAATTTTGGCAATCCTCTTCATGACTGTGGAGGTGCAGAAGGAGGCAGAGCCTATAGGGCAACCCAGAAGCACAAAACCGCCATCGGAGACAGGAACACCCTGGGGAAGAGACGAAGGGGGAGGTGAAGTCATATGATACTTCAAAGGTAGTAATTGGTGGAATGAGGAAAGGTACATACTTCTCTTTTCCTCTTTCTATTAGTTTGTGATTAATATAATATTGTGGAATGAGGAAAAGTGATGTATCCTCCACACCTTTCCTTCATTTTTCCTCTTACAATGTTGGTAGTACTATACGCACAACAAAAAGAATGTACTCAGCATCTCTATAGCACTATATAGGGCCAGTGACCACCAGCCAGAGCACTGGGCCTAATAGCTTCAGTAAGACATACAAGAGTTAAAGTAGGTGCCTGCCTTACAACACACACACACACACACACACACCCAAACGTACACTGACTGTTGCCAACCCTTTGCATGGTCTCCAGATGCACTATAATTATACGAGATGGGACCTTTCAATCAACATGTAACCTAGCCTTACTCACAGAGAGCTAGCTACTCATTCTATAACCCACTATAATACTACAAACTACCACTCATGACATTTTTCTGAGAAATTATTATGCCATAGTGTGTAGCTAAGGCTAGATTTCTGAACCAAGCCGGTTATAAAGGATCAGAGATTTTTGAACCCAAGCCAGCCAAGGATCGGGGATTTCTGAACCTAAGCCAGCCAAGGATCAGGGATTCCTGAACCCAATCCATAAAGCGTTTTTAACAAACTTTGAAAATTTACTGCGTCGCTATATTATATAGCAGTCTTCTACATGAAACAGCAGTGTTGTGTATTCTACAAATAGAAGGCCTGTAATTATGTAAGTAGGAGAGTTGAGAGCTAAAAATGGGTTTTTGCCCAGTTTGGCACCGCATATAATAGTGCCGTTTGGACCACTAGGTTAGCTCGCTTCCGCTCGCCAATTAACCCTCGGCGCGCATGCGCAGCGAGGGTTAGTGACACGCGGATGATACTGCGCGTGCACACTCTAATAAAACCGTCTGCAGTTTTCTTCAGCTCGTTGTTGCATGCAGAGTTCACAAGAATGGCAGACAAAGATCGCACTACTAGCGAATTCGCAGGTGTCCGCTCACTGCACCCACTCGTAGTGGGCCACATGTGCAAACAAGGGAAACGAAATTTTGCATTTGCAAAGCGGTACTTCGCCCTCTACGACGGCGGTCTTCTGGCGTACTACGACCACGAGCGAGACTACACGAAGGACGTGAAAAGGCACAAAGGAGTTGTAAGAATAAATGTTATATTATTATACTGTGTTTATCTATCTGTAAAAACTTCTGTTTGAATTTTTATGCAGCCTCTCAACTGTACACTGGTAAAGCTAGACGGTGCGTATGTGACCAGACCCAAGGCTCCTCCTCACGGGATAAAGCACTGCTTTATCCTACACACACCAGAAAAAACTAACCATAGAGAGTAAGTATGGTAGCACAAAGCATACTTACCAACCTGCAGATAAACCTATGTAGCTTTGCTTAGAAGTGTGAAATTTGCTTGATTTAGGCTTGAAATGCTGTGTGGTTCTTTAAAATGTATAAATGAGCATAAGGCATTCCACACAAAAAGTGAGATGGGCAGGTTGATTTTCAAGCAAAAAAGCTGGATGGTTGGTATAGGTATGCAAAGACACGTGAATGTCATAATGAATAGCTCGTGTGAAAGAAGGCAGCTATGTCTGGTTGCACGTAAAAAGACTTTATGCTCGGAATCTTTGATGTGTAACTGTGCACACTGTCTGCATAGGAGCAGCTGTTGTTAGGAAATATTTTCAGAGCCTAAAAAGAGTGTCTCAATGAACTCCAAACAGAGCCATTCAAGAATGGCTTCATTGCTTTTGCTTGTTATTAAAAATCGGCAAGAAATCCTAGCTCTGTCTCTATTATAACTCACTCCATACTAGCTAAAGTTTCTGTGCCTGAATTTATGATGGTGGTTATACTCATCATGCACAGCATACAATCTTGTAGATGCTCAGCTGCACAGCAGGGGGTGTGAGTGAAGTTGGATTGTGTGGTATAGTATTTAGCGAACACAGTTTGAGGGCTGGTAGCTAGTTGCGAATCTTTCATAGCCCATAGTAGGCTTTCTACATACCATAACTCTACAGCATTGTGCTTTTTGCAGGATTGTCTATTAAGCAACTCTTATGCATGAACATACCAATGTTAGGTGCTATGTGACTTGTTTCTCTTTGTTGCAGTGAGTTTCTCCTGGTGTGCCAGAAAAAGAAGGATATGAACATATGGATTGAGCACCTTGTGGCCCAGAACACAAACGCGGCTCTCACAGCTAGCACCAAGAAGCAGAAGATCCACCCCTACATCCTGAGACTGAGGCTCCAAAGCTCTACTAACGGAAGTCTTGGACCGAGGAAGTGGCACTCTATCTCAGACCTGAACTCAGACTGGCTGAAGAGAGCCAGCTACACCGGGATCCCCGGAGAGGTCGCCTTCACCTTTCACGTGGCTTCTGAAACAAAGATGTTAGAGTCACCGAACTAAGAGAGAACAAAATTGCCAAACTCAAGCTCATGTATGTATCAGCCATAATAGTTTGCATTGTGAAGTGTATTGATAACGCTCCATTTGTTAGTGAAAGGTGGGCACGACACTAAGCAAGAATAATGTGGCTAGTATACTGTCTCATTGACATTGTGGATGCTAGGCACAGTTTGTTCTAAAACTCTTTCTCCACAAATCGCTTAGCAATGCAAAATTAATGCATTATTGAGAGCCCAGCGTAGTATAGACTGCCTTCTTCCTCCCTAGACTCAATGATGCATTTTAAAAATTAATGCATCATTGAGTCCAGGGAGCAGTACTATTCTGACAGCTATGCAGTCGCAAATGACATACTATGCACAGCTTGGGACGTTTGCATCATTAACTGTGCACTGCACCAGCAAAGCGCTATGACAGGATCGATCTTCATATTATTATTACACACAGAATACAAAATAATGTGGTAAATTTAAGCACTGATGGTGGAGCCTGAGCTGTTGAGACTTTGAGCATCCGGACTTCGAGGGACGTAGCGTTCCTCCAGATCCCCGACATCGCCCGTGGCCTGCATGACGTGATAGGCCACCGTCCCACCCACAATCGGAGCTCCCAGCGTGGCAAAGAACGGGATACTCACACACGCCGCGGCAGCCTCCGCAGCTTTCTTGGAGTCTAGCGTGAGAGCAGGTACACCTACCGTCGCGAGAAGCGGTGCAACAGCTGTACCACCCAGGAACCCGATGGCTGATAGAATGGTTCGTTCGAATTTCCCGAGTCGCGTGCCACCTTTGAGCCCCTCCTCTCGAGCCTTTCGCAGCATTTCCTCGATGTTCCTCTTGACCCTCTCTGCCTCCTCGTTCCACGACGACACCCGGAACTCGTATCTCGTGTTTGACTTCAACTTTCTCACAATGTGCCACTGCTCGGACGTCTCTGTGGATTTCTGCCACGCATTCTTCCCCGCCTTCCTGAACTCCACGATGTACCGTGTAGCAGCTTCTGGGTTTATCTTGGGTAGGTCCCACTGTAGTTTCATTGCGTCCTTCGATTTGCCCACTACAGCTGCGTCGGTCGGTGGACCGGGGATACATCGCAGTGCTACCTCACGATCTGTCCACTTGTCACTCCGCGATTTGAACACTCCCTCCCTCGCTGGACCAATTGCAGACATGTTGAAATCAATCTTGAGGTTTTCTAGGTCCTGCAGAACCTGAGCACATATGTTGGGGTCGTACTTGTTGAGAGCCCTGGTGTAGTTGGTCTGGACTTCAGCCTCTTTCTCCAGTCTCTGCCACAGTTCATCGCAGTGCTTCTCCGACTTTTTCATGTTCTGCGTGATGAACTTGTGCAGCACCCCGGACTTGACCACACCTCCCTCTCTCGTGGCGATGGCCAGTTCGAATCTCCCGATCACATCTCGTACATCTTCCCTCTCCTCCGGTCGACAAGGTGACGTCGGACTCTCGCTCGATCTCGGGAGCATCTGAACCACCTTTTCCACCAGGATCTGGCGTTTCACGGTGAAAATCGACTCGTGCAAGCCCATCAGTGTAGGTCGGCTCTGAATAGAGTCTTCCTCTGGTATCGCCTCCTCCAACGGCTCCTCCCCGCAGAGTTCAGAGGCCATCTCTTCTTCGTACTTGGCCACTAGTGCCTCGGCCTCTTTGGTGAGTTTGAGTTTGATGACGGCCTTCCAGCTACCCTCCAGACTTGGCACACTGCCCTTCTGGTTGATGGCCTTGATGTATAGCCTGGCCAGCTCGGCGAGGTCTCCCCCTGTCACCGGTAGCTGCTGGTCAAACCCCACCTTTGGCGATACGGAGGCCTTGATCCCACGCTCACCGTTGATGATCTGGTCAGATTTCTCTGTAAACTCTTCTTCGATATTGTCTTCGTTGTCTAGGTTGGAGTTCTGTGGTTCGTCATTGGGGTAGGGGAGCCAGTCGCAGAGGAGGGGCTGTGGGAAGAGGGTGGTGATTGCTGCTATGACACTGTCGCAGTCCTTCTGGCCGGTCGGTGTGAGGACAACCTCGGTGAGGTACTTGGTGAGGGCGGAGTTTTCGTCCTCTTCTTCGTCGTCGTACGGAGGGTTGGTGACATCACGGAGGAGCCACATGAACTTTGGGAAGTATTTCTGAAACTCTTTGGGGTCGTTTTGCTTTTTCTCTCGCACGTTAATCGCAGTAGACAGGTGGGCAAAAGAGCTGCATGTACAATACAAGGGAAAGAGAATATATAGTGATCACATACATGCGGTATGTAACTGCGCTGTCACCATAATACCTACATGCTGCATGAGACATATACTGAATACAGGAGTCAACACTCTATCTAAGGACAATTCGTCCACCTTTTATCATTGCCTGTTTACAGGATGAATTGACGCACCATGCATAACATTAGATACACACACACACACCTCATCTGCTGCAAGTCAGCCTGTTTGGGAACCTCAGTAGAGTTGTAGATGAGGAAGGAGCTGAGGAGGATGGTTGCGACCAGGAGTTTGGTGGTGAATGACTCGGGCCCCTCTCCCTCCACGGCACCGATGCCCTCAGTGTCCAAAACCAACAGCACGAACTCTTCGCACTCGAGAGCCGTGGTCGACACCCAGATACCCCGCGTGCACGCCTCCATCGAGTGGCCCAGCATGAACGTCCCCGGCTTCTCCACCACACGAGAGATAAAGAACGACTTCCCAGTCCGGTACGGTCCACAGATTGCAAGAACGGCTACAGGCTTGTTGATCGTCTCCAGCAGCTCCAATGCTTCTTCCACAGGCCGTAGCTCCAGCGTGTCGGGCGAGGAGCTCTCTCGGCTCTTCACGATGGAGCCCGCCTCTTTGCTCCATTCGTAGTTGCTGGGCAGAACGAGGGGAATCGCTAGGTCTTTACAGAGCTCTGTCTTCAGGTCAAGAAGAGAAAATCTACCGGCCATGTTAAGATGCGGGGCGGGAAATCCCTCTGCTGCGTTTTAGCCCCGCCCTCTCAGCTCAGCTGACTGGGTGGGGCTTAGCTAGCTTCTCGATCCACACTGTTCATGATGATACCGCGCCAACTCCAACTGCCTGGAAGAACCCTGCCTCCAGCGCTTCCTCTCATCCTGCCGTTCTCCAGAAGCGACGGAAATGGGGAATCCGCTCGGTTGCAGGTGAACGATGAGGCGGTGAAAATGCTGGAAACCATCACCAAACCCGTGGCCGTTCTTTCCGTCTGCGGCCCTTATCGCACGGGCAAGTCCTACCTCCTCTCTCGCCTGTTGGGTAGGCCGGGGACGTTTCAGCTGGGCCACTCCATGGACGCCTGTACTCGAGGCATCTGGCTCTCCACCACTGCCCTCGAGTGTGAGGACCATCTGCTGCTACTGCTGGACACTGAGGGCATCGGATGCGTGGAGGGCAGCTCAGAGTACATTCTCAACCTGCTAGTGATCACAACTCTACTCAGTTCAACTCTCCTCTATAACTGCAGTGAAGTTCCCCAGGCCAGCGACCTTGAACAGATGAGGTATAACAAGCAAGCCCTCTTTCTGTTAGCATGCGTAATGTAGTCAGGATTGGAAAGTTTTTAGTGTGTGTTTGATCGAAAGCTTGTTTCTGTCCCTGCCTCCCACTGTATGATCATATACTGTATTAAGTAATATTCAGCTAATCATGAAAGCGGGTCCTCTTGCCTTTGCAGTGTGTTCACCCACCTCACCAGGTGTGTGGCAGTCGGGAGGGCTGATTCCTCCGCGGCACAGGAACTCCAGTCCCACTTTCTCCGATTCATCTGGCTCCTGCGCAATGTCATCAGCCACCCTCTCGATGAGGACGGGGCAGAAATACCTCTCAAGACTTACATCCACTCTGAGGCGGCCTCCTCCACACAGCAGTCTAAGGTTGTCATGGAAACACTGGAGTCTGTGTTCCCCAGTCTGGACTGCCTCTACGTCCCTCCACCCTCCGCTGACCCCGCCCACACCGCCGACCTGGACACACACTGGGACGAACTGGAGGAGGATTTCAGAGAGAAAATGGAGGAGATTCAGCAGTACCTCTTCCGCCATGTGACCACCAAACTGTCGTTCGATCGAACTACTCCCATCACTGGAGCCGACCTCGCTGCACTGCTACGAGAATACGTCACTGCCATCAATGCTCCAGGGAGCTTGCCTAGTCTTCAAGAGAGTTGGGTGGCAGTCATAAAACTGAAGCTTGAGGCCATTTTTACCGAGATGGTTGGCAAGTACACGAGAGACATGGAAGAAAAGACTGACGGCTTGTTTCCAATGGAAGAGGATATTCCCACTGAATCTGAAAGTGAATCTAGCTCACTCATGCAGGTGCATTGGCGTGTCTTTGATGAGTGCTACCATAATCTGAGACAAAGTATAAGAAACTTGCTACCACATCACACGGGCAACAAGCTCACACTGTACACGCAGTCCCTACTGACGAAATTCACTTCAGCAGTGGCCGAGTTTGGAACCCAGGATCTCCTGTGTACCGAGACAGTGAGAGGAGGTGCACTGTTGAGATTTGTCCAACAAAACTACAAACTCTCCGAGGAAATGTGTGAGAAGTTATGGGACAGGTTGTTTGAGGAGAGCGGCATTCGAAACAGAGTTGTAAGGGCACTGAATCGCTCCATAGCTATAGACGTTGGCTCTGATATGGCAGCAGTGGTAGGCGAGTACATGGAGAATGCAGTTGGACCTGCTAAACTGAAGGTCCTCGAGCGTAAACGGGCAGCTAATGATGTGGAGAGAATGCTGCGTGACTTACCTGGGCCGCCGGTCAATGTTAGACTTGTGGGGAGAGACAGAGACAAGCATAAGCTCAGGTGGGACCCTCCAGCTATCAACGCAGGGGCAGCCCTCAGATATGTTGTGCAGAAAAGGACTAAAGAGGGCTGGAGGGATGTCACCACTACAGACAAGTGTTGGGTGGTCATTGATAAACAGCAGATCAAAAGAGACACTGTATAGGGTGACGTCTTGGAATGAAGGAGAGCACTGTAAAGGAGAGATGGAGGAACCACTCGTTGTTACAACAAATAGTGTGTCACGTGAAGAGTGGCTTTCGTATGTGTAGCTGTGGTAAAAATATCGCGCATGCGATTATTTTTCTTGTTGTTTGTGCGCATGCGCTGATATTCGCGCAGGCAGCGTGTTGTGAGAGGGTCAGCGAGTGAGCTGGTGGAGGGCTGGAGAGCTCGAGAAATGCAGTCCTCCTTGCTGAGATTTGTGCAGCGCCAGGGGAAGAAGGAGACGTCCAGTAACGTGAGCGACTGGATGAGCACGTGCATTCTCTTTATTGTGGCTTCACGGCTGACGTTGGTTTATACTTAGAAACGTCCAGCAGATGGAGACAGTGGTAACGAGAAGAAAAAACGAAGGAAATCTGGTATGATTACGTGCGATCTTGAAATCATTTCCCCCTGGATCACTGGTCTGCTGGTGCAATACAGGAGGATCTACTACAAATCTGAAGCAGTTCAGCAGACAGGGAGTACCAGTTGGTGGCGCTAAGGACAATGCCAGCACTCACACTGAACCTGCTACCTTTGCTCAACCTCAAGAGGAACCAGCTAATGATGTTTCAACCAGCTCAAGGCATGAATCAGCAGCATCTTCAGCAGTAGAGGAAATATCCCCACTCCTACGAAGTTCACAAAGACCGTCAGTGAGCTCAACTCCAGGCAGGAGGAAGTCGAAAACAAACAAGCCAGAGCCTATCTCTACTCACTCGCCCACAGTCTCAAAGCAGTACACTCCATTAGAGCAGCAGTACATTGCCATCAAGGCCCAGTATCCCGATGCCATTCTCTTTGTAGAGTGCGGCTACAAGTATCGCTTCTTTGGTGAGGATGCAGAGGTGGCTTCCAAGACACTCAACATTGGCTGCTTCCAGGACCACAACTTTTACACTGCCAGTATCCCAGTCCACCGCCTCCATATCCACCTCAGGAGGTGGGCATCCACTATATATAGCAGTAATGTTGTTACAGGACAAACATTAGTCAATTGCTTTGTGAAATGTCAAAACTGTCTGTAAAGAAACACTTGATTACACGCAAAGCCGGCCCTAAGATTGTTTCTACATGATACCCTGTCGATCTTGCAGGCTGGTAGCTGCCGGTCACAAGGTGGGTGTGGTGAAACAAACCGAGACTGCAGCTCTGAAGGCAGCCAGTGACCGGAAGTCTGGGCCATTCTCCAGAGAACTGACAGCTCTCTACACCAGGACCACTCTCTTAGGTCCTGATGTGAGGCCACAATTTGCCAGTAGAGGGAGGTGGGGAGGGGGTGGTGGTGGTGACAGGGAGAATGGGGACGGAGGGGGAGGGTGGGGTGAGACAGAGGTGGAAGAGGAAGAAGAGGGACTGTGGATGATGTGTGTCTGTGAGCAGACAGCTACAGCCAAGGAGAGAAAGACTTCGGGCATCACTATCGGATTTGTGGTATGTATACCGCTACATCAATAGACTACATCGTATTCTAGTTAGTCTGAGATGCCCTCTCCTTTTCTTACTCATGTTGTCGTTGGTCCTCATAGAATCTATAGTCTAGCTCACAGGTAGCAGCAGAAATGACTTATTATGCAGGAGATAGACAACACCAGCTTCTTGTGTTCTCCCAATCACTGCAGCCGTAAACAGATTATATTTTGGCATGAAAAAACCAACTGCAGACTGGGTGGGGAACAATTGCATTCTTTCGGTGACGCAAACTACATTATACATGCTCTAGTACAGTGCATATTATAAGCAGAGAATGTGAACGGGTGTGACTGAATTTTGGTGTGAAAAGTTGACCACGAGCTGAGTTGGACCGCATATTGCATTCTCCTGGTCACTCAAAAATTTTTAACCATGCCCAACTGCGGTACATATTATGCTCTAATCCTCGGGCGCGTCCTCTCGGATCCCACGCTTTTATTAATGCACTTTAGTACCTGTTATATAGACATGGTTTTATAATCATACTTACATAATTAGCTTGCTGGGTAACGTACTGTACTATGGTCACAGGCTGTTCAGCCGGCAGTGGGTGTCATGGTCTATGATCAGTTCCAAGACAGCACCTCCTCTCTGTCGGAGCTAGAGCTGAGGCTGTCTCACCTCCAGCCAGCCGAGATCCTCTACCCTAGCAGCTCATCCTCCACTCTGGAGGTCTCCCTCATCAACTGGAAGAAATATGGGTTAGAGGGATAATGAGGCCTTCATCATGTGTTCCCTCTAAACAGAATGTTTCAGTATACATGTATAAGGCTAAATTTACGGAAACGTAAGTGCATTCTTGCACTTGCCTCTATTGTTTAGTTGTATTTTTTAGTAACATTGTGCTGCCTTTAATGACATATGTACTGGACAGGGGGCAGTCAGGAGTGCGCACTGAAAAGCTTCCAGATGAATGGTTTGATTATACGTCAGCCTTATCCACAGTCACTGAATTCTATGGTGATGAAAGTGTCCATCAAACCCTCACCACTGATAGTCACACTAGTGATGATAGCATGGATACACAGTCTTCAGGTCAAGATGAGAGAGACAACAGCAGCTGTCACCTTGAACTTGAAGCACAGGGTATTATCCAATACAACATTAAATGTAAACCACTGCTCTGGCTTTTATATCCAATAGGTCTTCAGAAGGTTATCAATTTGCCCAAGTGTTCCTTGTCATGTCTTAGTGCCCTCATCCACCACCTCAAGGTCTTCAAGCTTCAGCAAGTGTTGAAATTAACCAGGTAAAGGCCACAAAGAGGCCTTAAAACAAACATTATCCAACCTCCATTATCTGCAGCAACCTTGAGTTGTTTTCTGCGGGTGATCGGTGTATGAAGCTCAACAGCAAGACTCTTGAAAACCTGGAGATTTTCCAGAACGTAGTATGTTATTCACAGAGAATCACTTGTAGCTGTATATACATTATAATGCTTCTGCAGGAGGAAAAGAGCGAGAGGAACACTCTGTTCTGGATCCTGAACCACACAAAGACTCCATTTGGACGGCGACTGCTGAGGAAGTGGACGACCAACCCTCTCAGGAGGGTGGCTGAGGTAGAGAGGAGACAGGCTGCAGTCAGCCAGCTGAGCTCCTCTGAGAGCCTGTCAGTCTCGCTGCTCAAGAAACTGGCCTCTCGACTCCCAGATCTTGAGAAAATGCTCTGCAGTGCATACCATAAGAAAGTAAGCAAGCACCTCTGATGGAATACAGTGAAAACTTTTCCCGACACCAATGGGACAGAAGTATAGTACATACTTTGTTATGGCATTTACTAATGGAACAGAAGAACAGAAAAATTTTTAATGCACAGGTGTGCATACTTTGTTATGTCCACTTATTGCCTTAATAGTGCTCACCGCTCGATTTCTGTGACCTGATGCACCATTTGACTGACATCAGTAGTCAGGTAGAGGCGCTCTCTGAAACTGCCCTGGCTGACCTACAGTCTGAACTTCTACACTCTATCATCAAAGAGGTCAGACTTAACCCATACAGCAACTCTTAGTTTATGGCATGTTTTTGTTGTACTAGATCCCAAGGCTTTTGCGGGGATGTAGTGGTTTTCTACAAGCTCTCAACGAATCTTCTGCCAGGTATTTAATAATAGAGACACTTTTGTTGTGCAGAGGTTTATTTATGTCCTGGAAAATACTGCTACAGGGAGGGTTGCTATGAAGATCTCTTTGCTAATGTTGAAAACTATCCAGCAGTTTTGAAGGAGAAGAAGGTAGCTGTATAGTCTATAATTAACATGCTTGATTATGTTGGCTACATATATTCGTTGTGTTTCTGTCCAGTGCATTACTGAAGTACAAGAGAGATTAGGTCAACACAAACAGCGATTCAGGAGGACTCTTGCTTATCCAAAAGCTGACTATAGGACTGTTTCTGGAGTTCAGGTGTAATCCTTCATGTTCAAGTGGTGTGTTTACAGTTCTGCTGTTGGTCTCGTTAGTATCTTGTGGAAGTGAAGAACAAAGACATTAACAAAGTTCCATCTGACTGGACCCGGATCAGTGGGTATGTTATGGAAGCTTGTTCGACCAACCACTATTAGCCTTTATTGCAGAACAAAGCAAGTGACACGGTTTCACCCTCCATATGTCCTGGAGGATGTACAACTTTTAGCTCAACACTCAGAGCTGTTGGTGGCCAATGCAAAACAGGCTTGGAACGAATTTCTCAGGTTCAGAAACTGACTCCTCAAGCTGCCACAATTGCATGTACCTCTTTGCAGTGATTTCGGCATGCAGTATGGTGCCTGTAAGAAGGCTGTGGATTTGCTGGCTACTCTGGACTGCCTGCTGTCTCTGGCTGCCGTGGCTGTCATGCCAGGATATGTCTGGTAGGGACAGAGTGCCAGAGACTACATTTAAGTGGGATGTGGTAGAGTATATCTTCTTTGGTTCTCAGTCCCAGAGTAGTGGACGATGCAGTGGTTGAGATAGAGGCTGGTAGACACCCTGTCATAGACCTTCTCTTGACTGAGGGAGAACAGTTTGTGGCCAATGACACCAAAATGAGTGTAAGCTAGTTAGCAAAGGGGAGATTGATACTAAAATGATATGTGTATTTCTTACAGAGCTCGGATATGCGAGCCATGATAATTACCGGACCGAACATGGGAGGAAAGAGCTCTTATATCAAACAAGTGTGCAATTATTAGATACAGCCACACTTTGTGGACTCTCAAAACTTTCTGTAGGTTGCCTTGATTTGTATCATGGCTCAGATTGGGTCCTTTGTGCCTGCAAAGTCGGCCACTCTTGGCATGCTGGATGCTGTGTACACACGGTACCCAATGAATCTCAGAGAGCTCAGTGTGTGCATCTGTTTTACCTGGAGAGTATTGTGTACTTAGAATGGGGGCCAGCGACTGGATGTTTGCAGGAAAGAGCACATTCATGGTTGAACTAATGGTAAGGAACCAGTTTGTTGATTTTACTTCATTCAGCTACAAACAAAATCTGTTTAGGAGGCCTCAGAGATAATGGCTCAGGCAACACCGCAGAGTCTGGTGATACTGGATGAGCTGGGTAGGGGAACTAGCACTCACGACGGAATGGCTGTGGCCTACGCCACCCTCGCTCACTTTATTGAAGAGGTGATTCTCATTAAAGACAAAAGCATTATCTCCTTTGTAGACATTCAAGCACCCACAACAAGGGAGTTGTTATAATACTGTGTACCAACAATAATATTCGTAGTGTGTTAGCTATGTGCATTATTTAGAGGAGTCTCAACCTGCGCAGAGTGCAAATGTACATTTTATCTGTGGAAATAGTCGTGAAGTTTGGTCCATACATTTGTGGATCCTTCCAGGTGAAGTCATTGACTCTCTTTGTGACCCACTACCCCCTACTGGCACAGCTGGAGAGACTTTATCCAGGCACTGCAGGCAACTTCCACATGTCCTATGTAGAGGCTGAAACAACAGGTTTCCCCTTACCTCCGCTTGCCAAACAGTGGATGGATGCTGTGTTTGCTCTCATAGGTGAAGGCTATGAGAAGATAGTATTTCTCTACCAGTTGGAGCAAGGGCAGGCTGGCAAGAGCTACGGTCTCAATGTGGCAGCACTGGCTGGAATAGACCCTGCCATCCTGAAGCTTGCCTCAGAGAAATCTCGAGAGCTGGAGGCTGAGTGTAGAAGGCGGAGCAAACTGGGATCAAATCTCTTGAAAAAGAAGGCTGCAGCTAGTAGTATTATTTCTCTACTGGGCCAACAAGAACTGTCGTTTGATCCAGGGACAGCTATTCACATTGCAACACACGCATTGCTGTCTTCGTAAGAAGTATTATACGCCTGGACATGCCCTGCGCATGCGCGTGCGCGTAAAGTTGATTACGCGATCGCGAACGGCCGGTCGGCTTATAATTATACGCGCGCGCTTTCACCGCTAGTCGAAGATCGGTCTAGTCGCAAGAGACTGGACTAAAATGCCGTCGTCCCTTGGAGCTGTACTTTTGTTCCTATCACTTCTTACTGCGGATGTCGCCAAGTGTCAAGATGGCTTGGGCCACTACTACTACTCCCCTGACGCCGAATACGACAACTGTCAAACGTGCCCTGACGATGGAGACCTGACCGTAGGTGAAGATTTGCTGTGTCGCTGCGACTCTAACTGCACGCTCTACGGAGATTGCTGTAAGTCACGCATTCATTTGTCGGATTCCACTGACGCCGGTCCGCTGGACGGCTTGCTGGAATGTCGCAGCATCTACCTGGATGAGCGGACCCAACCAGACTGGGAAGAGTCATTTTGGATGGTTTCAGCCTGCCCTGCGGAATGGGCTGCTATGGGAGACGACCAGCTAATGCTGGACATCCTCATCAACTGCTCCAGAGGCAGCGACAACCTCCCGCCAGTCACCGTCCTACAGACGGGGCTGGTCTACAAGAACGAGTACTGCGCAGCGTGCCACCGGGCCCAAAACATCAGGCGGTGGGGCTACACCTTCGTATGCAACCCAACAGAGCTCCGTCAGCTGCTGGCTTCGCAAACAAACCTCCAGCTCACCTTAGACCTTGTACAACGGTGGTGCCTTGCATGCAGATTCAGAGACCCTCACCAAACTAACAGGACTTTTCCAGAAGCTAGACCATGTGTTCACACGCCTCTGGTGATGAGCTCTTGTCTTGAGAGGAACGATCTTCAAGTGCTGACTAAAATGCATATTTCAGAGCAGCTCTATCAAGAGATAGCAAGCCAGTGCAAAGGTGGACCAATTAGCCCAGTTGTGTCAGAATGGTTTCCCAGGCCTTTCCGCAACCAGTACTGCGTGCTATGCAATGGGATCAGAGTGAACAATAAGACCCTGAAGTGTGTCAGTCCATACCAACACACGTACAGAGACAACACTAATCCTTGCCAGATAGAAGCTGCAGCAACAGGTGGGAGCAGCATCAGTGGCACACTGAACAACTCCCTACTTTGCGATGATTTTCTCATCGGTCCACTTGACAATTCAGAGCATATTCTGCTCATTAAAGAGTTTGGAGGAGAAGTGATTGATATTATCAGCTACAGCAACAACTCTGCATTAATCTGCACAAACCTCTCACAGAATGAAACGGTTGAGATGAATGTGACATTTCCTTCCTACTCCTACCCATTAGGTCTCACCATCCTCACCTACGTCGGTTTCTCGCTCTCAGTTATTGGCTGTGCATTTGTTCTGCTGACCTACTCTCTATTCAAGGAGCTACGGACACTGCCGGGGAAGATTCTGATGAACCTGTGTGCGGCCATCTTGGCCAATGCTCTCTTCCTCCTGATTAGAATCCCACTGTTTTATACTCTCGCAACGAATGTGGAGTTCTGTGTCACAACAGCCATCTTCCTCCACTGGCTGGTCCTCTCTCAGTTCTCCTGGATGGCTGTCATGAGCTGCGAGCTGGCGCGGACCATGATCCGAGCGTCACGTATGAGACAGACTGAGACTGGTGCAGTCAAGCGAAATGTATTTCTTATTTACTTGTTGATTGGATGGGGCATCCCTACCCTCATGATAGGGCTGAGCTCAGTTCTCAACTACACCACGGAATATATTCAATACGGACAAGGCTCATTCTGCTTGATTGGTGACTCCATGTCTTTCTATACAGTTTTCCTGGCACCAATAGCACTCTCGCTGATTCTGAATGGAGCGGCATTCTTTGTGACCAGCTACCTGCTCGTCAAGGCACAACGAGGCGAGGCTAGGCTCCAGAAAGAGCGCACCACTTCATACTTGCGTATCCACCTGAGTGTCTTCTCCATCACTGGGCTCACGTGGGTCTTTGGGTTTGTCGCAATCCTCACCAAAGACCAATGGGCCTGGTACGTCTTTATCATTCTCACCTACACTCAGGGATTCACCATTTGTGCTGCTTTCCTCTTCACCCAAAAGATCTTCTCCCTCTACAAGGAGCGCTTCTGGTCAAAGGTTTCGAGGAAGCTCAGCCTTAAGAACACACTCAAGCGGAGAACACAGAGCACTTTGCTGGCAGTTATAGGGGGCAAAAATACAAGTACAGAATCTGCCCCTTCTGTGGAAAACACACAAACTGGGCCGCCTATCAATTCTGCAAGGACGCAGGGACAATCAAAGCAAGAACCGGTCAGCTACCCAAGGAACTTCAAGAAGCAAGATGTGGAATGTGGAAAAGAGAGAGACAATATTACAGAACAGGCAATGCAAAGATCATAACCACCACACCCCCCACCTAATGCCAAAAATAAAGATTAACAACGGGAAATGTTTCATCATACATTCTATCATGTATTATGGCGTCTCACATTCTAGACAATGTTGTGCATTACACCTGATACCACGCTATCTTTTGATGACCCATCTGGCATGCCAAATGGAGGGGAGTGGAGTAGTCATGATCCAAGACCCACATAGCAAACCTCCCACAGACAAACAACCTCTCTACAAGGGCATCTCAGAGTTGTTTGGTTGGTGGTTTGATGTGTAAGTAAGCTTACATGAGAAATTAGCACAATTCTCCAGCAGTAGGCGAGGAAGGGTTGCAGCAAGGAGCAATAGAACCAGCATTAGCACGACACTTGTCTTCGACGACTCTCACCACAACGTGCGCATGCGCCAACGAATGAGAGGGCGGGGTTATGTCCGTGTATAGCAGCAGCTGATATCGCGATCTCTCTCCGTTTTCGTGCCTAACGATGGCTGACAACAAAAGAAGTGACGTTGGAGAGCTTCGGTAATGATGTATTGCTCTAGCAAGTGGTGTATGATCATGGTAGCGCTTCCACAGGACTCTTCTGCGACGTCCTGACGTCCAGAGAGACCCACGGAAGTACTTGCAGGCCGTGCAGAAGGTTATAGCCTGCATGACACTTGGCATTGACGTCTCCAAATTATTCAGCGAGATGATCATGGTTTGTGTAGCATTCCAATTCTCTTTGTGCTCTTTGAGCTAATTAGCTACATGTGTGTTCTGCTGAGTTAGAAGATGGTGCACATCTAACTTTTGAAAATTTACTAGCTATTACTATGTACATACACATACCTATACTGTATGGAATATCAAAACACGTAATTAGAACCAGATCGTTTAAAAAGTCCTTTGTGACAGAGGTTGCCCCCGTAGTTCTATCAACGGTTTAGAGTTTTTTTAGCCCTTTTGTACAAGTTTGCCATATATGTACATACATACGCACACTCTTACAGGCAGTGGCCACGCCAAACCTGGTGCAGAAGAAGCTGGTCTACTTGTACCTCAGTAACTATGCCCAGACCAACTCAGAGGTGGCTCTCCTGACGGTCAACACCATGCAGAAAGACTGTCAGGACCGCAACCCTGTGGTCCGGGGACTGGCCCTTAGGAGTATGTGTTCTCTCAGGTATTATTGTTACCAAGTTCTGATGGATGTGTAGGATTGTGCTACCTACAATTTTGATCCATATAATATCCCCACTTTACACAAGTACAACTCGTGTCCTTTCGCTCTTGTGTAAAACATACTCACTTGAGTAAACGTTTTGGTTACTTTTTATTTCCCCAAACAAAGCAGGGATATTCCACTTTTAAATAAGAATTTCTTTTTCAGACTCCCCAGTTTACTGGAATATCTGAGGGAACCTCTGCAAACTGGTCTAGGGGATAGGAGTGCGTATGTTAGAAAGACTGCTGTGATGGGGATTATCAAGGTGTTCTACATTGCTCCACATTTTATTACTGGTATATAAAATTTGTTGCATGTGTGTATAAAAGCAAAAATTGTGCAAGACATGCTTTTTGGAAGCATAAGTGTGAAACAGAACTGTAGTTGAGAAAGAAAAAAAAACGACCCTGCCAGGACTCGAACCTGGAATCCCCTGATTCGTAGTCAGATGCCTTATCCGTTGGGCCACAGGGCCGTCACACTTACACTCACCCAATATAGCATACCTCTTTCTACAGAGTTGAACCTGGTGGACATTCTCTACCAGATGCTGCGGGACAAAGACCCCCAGGTTGTCTCAAACTGTATATCTGTCCTCGATGAAATATTGGCCAGAGAAGGAGGGATCATTCTGAACTCAAAAATTGCACACTACCTCATGAACAGGTAAGCAAGTCTATAATATACTTCAGAGTAAGGATTTCCTGTCCACGGTAGATTGAGAGATTTCAGTGAATGGGGTCAGTGTCAGGTACTGGATCTCTTGACACGATACTCTCCCAACAGTAACGAAGAGGTCTATGACATTCTGGTGAGTCATCTCTACTATGCATACAACACGCACACACATAGTTCAACTTAACTATACACAAAAGAAAAAGAGTCTACATATTTTTACGCCTGGTTGACTATGTATGTAGTGCATGTTTAAACTATATATACATGTTGACCACCGAACAGGGTGTTGTGTAATGTTACAGAATGTGTTGGATGATCGTCTTCGCCATGCCAACCTGGGCGTGGTCCTGGGAGCGGTGAGACTGTTCCTCCACCTCACTGAGCACATGCCACATCTCCACAAAGACGTCCATGACAGGATCAAGGGTGAGAGCTGCACACACTCACACTATCTTTCATGCCTTAGCTTCACGTGCATAGAACACAAACATGTGTACTATTAATCTGTTGGAGGCTCTTTATTCTGAAACTATAGGACATAGGGGCCTATAAAAAGCTGGGAGTTAGATGTGTGGATACTTTAGTGAGCCACTGCATGCCTGTGAGCGTACAGGACACTCAGTCACACCCAGCAATAACAACTACCACTTAGATTGTGCTAATGGAGCATAAAATTTCATGCCATGTTGGATGTATAATGCATTATCTTTACACTTGCCCATGTACATGATTCCTTGTACTAGTTCCACTGCTGACTTGCCTGGGCTCCCACTCTCCTGAGCTGGTCTACACGTGTCTCCAGCATGTCCAGTTACTGCTGGCCAAGGAGACCAGCTCCTTCTTCGACAGCTACCAGACCTTCTACTGCAGGTATACTACACACTGTAATGGGCCAAGAGACAAACTGCTGTTTCTTTCCGAGGAGAATACTGGTATATACCACACTTCAATATAAGTGGTAGCAACTCTTACAAATGACTCTCCATTTTCTGTGTGCTGAAACCGATTATTACTCCTTTGAAAAATGCTTGAACGAGGTTCTGAGATATAATATGTGACTATAAGTACACCACGTAGTACTACGTATGTACAGTACTATAAGGTTTGTTGACAGAGTAAAGAACAATAGCACATGTTGTTGAGTGTGTGGTTTACACAGGTATAACGACCCACCCTACGTCAAGATGAAGAAAGTTGAGCTACTTACGGAGCTGTGCAATGCTGGCAATGCAGAGAGCATCGTCAGTGAACTGGGGTGGGTATATAATACCAGCAGTCAAATTCAGAAAAAATTGTACGTGTAGTGGTTTCGCACATACATGCTTATTTTAGTAAAGGCTGCATATATAGATGACCTAGTAACACTTTTTGTGCAACTTTTCTATTATCGGTAACTGACGAAAATGTTCATTCTGACCCCCATAATGTAATTTGCAGACCCTGTTAAAACCAACAAGTTATAACTTTTGGTGGTCCCCTTGAGTTCATATTAATGAGGCTACCATTGTTTGCTGTACTGTTTAGTTGAAGAAGTTACATCACTGCCGTTCCCTTACCTCTACTCTGTCCTTCCTCCACCAGGGAGTATGCAACCGATGTGAATGTGCTGGTAGCGAAGCAGGCCATCCGGGCCATAGGTCAGATCTCTCTCCAGCTATCCACGAGGGCCAACACCTGTGTCGACAAACTCCTCTCCCTTCTCACCATGGACATTGACTACGTCACCTCTGAGACTCTGGTGGCCATGACAAGTCAGTGGGGAAAAGAGTCGATGAACATACTATAATATTTTTACATACTAGAACAATATACGTGAGTGCAAGATTTGAGTTGAATTTATGTTGTAAACCTTTACGGTATGGACAGCACCCGTCAGATAGATTAAAATGACCATGTAAACTCACTCCACTTGCCAATAATAGTGCTACACTTTGAAAATAGTTGAAATTTTCTTTTTGTGTCTGCTGTACAGACATACTGAGGAAGTTTGACGACATGATAGAGGTGATTCTGCCCCAGCTGCCAACCTCGTTTGACACCATCACCGATCCCGAGGGAAAGGCTGCCCTACTATGGATCCTCGGAGAATATGGAGAGGTTGGGAAATACGCACCTTTAATCACAAAACCCAATGACTGCAACAGGTTCATGCTTCTGTATTTACGGTTGTTCATATTCTTTGACAACCGTCTTGCAAGTCTTTGTACAGTTGTGTCTTCGGTTGAACCTGTTCTACTTTTCTCTTACGCACTTTTTCTCGAAGACGTGTGCTTCAACATTTTGTACCACTTGCTAAGTGTGTTACAGTCATGCTTGTAGTATAGTGCTATTCCGATTCACCATACATTCTTATAGACCAGTTCATGGTGTAGTTTTGTGTTTCATACTGTTCTTTATTATACTCTCTCTCTCTCTCCTCAGAGTCTGTCCAACACTCCCTACGTATTGGAGGAGGTGGTTAATAACATGGGAGACGAGGCCTCGTCAGAGGTGAAGCTACAGCTGCTGACGGCAGTCATGAAGATGTTCATGAAGAGACCACCTGAGTGTCAGGACATGCTGGGCAGACTCCTGGAGCATGCCATTGGTCAGTATTATACCACCCACATTGCAAGAGTTTACTCTGCATCATTTGCACTACAATGTGGTACGTAGTTAGCATTGCTATATGCATACATGTGTGCATTTGGCAGTTGGATCCCACTGCATAATTCATCAGTCAATGTTTCGGGGGGTTCCCCATGAACACTTCAGCAACCCTGATTAAGCTTTTTGTCTCGGAATAATTTATCCCTCCCTTCCCTTTTAAAATGTTTGCCCCCTGCCCCCTCCCCTTAACAACCTTTACTGAATCCACAGACGAGGAAGGGGACATGGATGTGCACGACCGAGGCATGCTCTACTACCGTCTCCTGAAACACAGTGTCCAGGAGGCCAGGAGGGTCGTGTGCGGTCAGCACAGGATGGTGACTAGCAAGAACACCATCATCCCCAGGGTATGACAACTCCTCGTACAATCCTATTGCAAGAAAATTCAAGGATTGTGAACCAGCAAACATTTTCTTTGTGATAAGGATTCTAATCTGCTAATCTGTGTTTGGCTGTTAACTATGCACTACGAATTCCCATTTTAAGCAATATATTTGTGACTGAATCGCTGGATATTTTTTGCTATGAACTTGGATCTTGTTATTTCAATGAGCTGAGCTGTGTACGTTTCAGCATACCCTAAGACGCTATATAACAACACCACCACCGCAATGCCAGACTGGACTTTAGTTGCATGTTTTTTTCTCCAGCTTTCTCTGTTCCCTGAGTTCAACACTCTGTCAGTGATGTATGGGAAACCCTCGTTCAACTTCATCTCCCAGCAAGTGCCCTACATCATCACTGCATCTGACACCTCACGGGGAGCCGGTAATGCACAGTTCTATATAATGTACTAAAAAACTTGGGATTTTGCCTATAGAAAGGAATACCTGTGCAGGACCTATGTACATATGGTTTTAACGTCAAGTTATAGTATTCCTTGTTTATGTCGAGTTACTGTACTCCTCTCGTTTCAGAGACCAACTTTGAGTTAATGCCAGAGACGGGTAGTTCAGGCAGTGGTGGAGGTTTCGGTGAGGGAGGAGTCAGTCCCATACCCTCACCACTGGTCCCTCACCAGCAGCAGCAAGACTCCCTGGTGACTGATGAGACTGGCTGTCTGGTGAGTGTTCTGGGCCTCAGAAAACTCTAGAGCGAATGCAGTCCATTTTGATGCAGTGTGACAACACTATAGTATACACATGGGAGATCATGCAGTTAAGATTACTATAAGCAGGGTGAGCTTCTCCAAGCACATGCCACAGAACTTATGACACTCAATTACTCGCCTCATGTCTGCATCGATAAACACGTTACTGTTTGACGTCTTGTGCAGGTATCAATACCAGCTGCCCAGCCATCCAACGTGCCGCCAGTCATTTTCCTGAATCCCTCGCCTAGTCTCAGTGCTGGAGACTTCGAGAAAATGTGGCTCGCCATGCAGACAATGTGAGTATGTACGTATATCTCATAGTACTACCTTAATAGCTACAGTGGTTTACCATGAAATGAGGTCAAAAATCTGCACAGTATAGGCACTGCACTAACTGTGTGGTATGGTGACAATTATCCCTCCTCCAGTCAGGAGGTGAAAGTGAGGCTGAGGGGTATACCACCACCCAAGGCCCTGGAAAAGGCTCTGGCTGCCAGGTTCATAAAGACAATGGCCTCCAGCTCCCAAGACCAGCCGGACCTCCAGTTTTTCTTCTTTGCCAAACACGTGAGGAGAAATGGAAACAACTATGCTGACATTGTGATTGTTAATCCCTTCTACTGTCACTCATAGGTGTCGACCATGCACTGGTTCCTAGTCCAAGTGATTATCACAGGGGCCACTCTTGTGATGTCGGTTGAGCTGAAGTGTGAGAAGAAGGAGCAAGCCCAGTCATTTATCAAACACTATCTGCAGACCCTAGTAATGCATCACTGGCTCGCGCCCACATCATAGGAATAATGAATGGTAGTATCATGATAATTCATTGTTGCGCAGTAACCCCGAGGGACCCAATAATGTACACAGACACAGGCTAGGCGATGCATAAGAACTTCAGTCGCTGCTGATACGCATGCGCGTTTGTGTTGCGCGGGGGAGAGGGGGTCTGAGTCACGGGTTTTTGCTCGCTAAAGATTGTTCTCAGCTTGTTTCTCTGCCTTGTCGAAATGTCTCTTACCGGAGCCGCCGTAGTAGTCGTGCTGCTACAGCTGACGGCAATCTACCAACCAGTGTCAGCTTCAGACGGCAAATGTCGCCGACTTCTCTTGAAAAACGGTCTCTCTGTGAACTTCAACGAGACGGTGGCTCACACCATCCACTCTATGACCGTGGAGGGTCTCCAGATGTTCAATCCGAGAGCCAATGTCCATAACAACGTCCCGACAGTCAACATGGACCGCCGCTCCCCGCAGAAAGTGGTCCCGTTCGCTCCGGACGATCCGCTCGGCCATGACTTCTCGACGCAGCCGATGAACGTCGTGGATAAGATCCTGCAGAACGTGGGCAAGGACAACGACGGTCTGGGCCGCTACTGGAGTCCGTTGGAGCGAGTGGTGCACAAGTTTCACATGATCGACGTCTGGACTCGCGTCCGGTCCGTCTTCCAGTCCCAGGTGGTGCAAAGTCCTCCTTCTGGCGAGGTTTGCAACTGTCTGCTGGACACTGGAGGGAATGGGATCTACGACGCAGTAGACTGGGTCTCTGAGCACTATGACAGCGGGACTCCCATCACTCTCCTCAACCGACCCATCCCCAAACTGACAGATGCTGCATCATGGGACATCTGGAGGACTCGTCTGCTATACTACTACCAGCCAGCGGCACTGCACGACAGCGCTCTCTACCTCTATTGTGCCACCAAAGATTTCTGAATAGTGCCACCAAGAGGAGTTCTGAACAAACTAATGTTTTTTGCATCGGTTACGCGCATGCGCGCATAATAATCGTAGGGGTCCCGTGCCGACACACGCGAACCGCGGCGGTCTACCTTCGGCTAGCTCGGACTGTGGTTGAGTGTTTCTGTTTCGGCACGAGGCAGTGACTGGTGACGCCCTGGCCCTCTTGGCGTTTGAGGTAATCAAAGAGGCGGTTGGCTAAGAAATCAGAACGCGCTCCGCGGGCCCAGGTGGTTTTGGGTGTAACCTTCTTACGTCACCTTTACGTTGGGAAGACAATGTTGTTGTAGTACCTGCTATCTCATTCCAGCGCTCATATAATTATACCACGCCAAATTCCGTTTTGATTTGTGTAGTATTCGGATGCCCGCTAACAATTGAACTTTTATACTGACGGTTGCTATTATGAGTTGGCAGCTGTAAACCCAATACTTGAGTTGTAGGTTGTCATGTACATGTACCTAATGGGCACAGGTGCTATCCATGAATGGCATGGGTGACTAATATAGAGTGATTGTCGCTTGCTCTAGACATCGCTTAGTCAAATCACTGAACACTTCTCTATAACCACGATACACATACATGCTGTAATGGTATATACTTTACAAGGCACCACTGTTTGTACAGAGGCGAGGAAGTTTAAACTAGGAGTACTGTACATAGTATGTGTACGAGCTTGCAATGCCTGTGCTATTGTTTCATGAATAACACACCAGTATATACCTGTTTTTCTTCTCCCCACGATATACTTTACAATGCACTGAATGTACCACTGTTTGTACAGAGGCGAGGAAATTTAAACTATGAGTACTCTACATAGTATGTGTACGAGCTTGCAATGCCTGTGCTCTAGTTTCATGAATAACACACCAGTATATACCTGTTTTTCTTCTCCCCAGGAAGTTATCGCAAAATGGATTATGCATGTGAGAGTGACAGTGATACCCAGGTAAGAAAATTGAAAGTTACTCTACTGCATAATGGATGTGGTATGCATATACAATTTTCTACGTGATGTACGAAAACGAAGTGCGATGCATTTGGGTGAGCACGAGAGTTACTGGCGCATGCAGCAACGATTGCGGAATTTCAGTTACGTGCATGCGTGCATTTAGAATCACGTAGGACATTACGGTAAGGATGGCAACCCCTTGGATCATACATATAGAAGTGCTCGCAATTAAGGTGACTATGTGGGATGACTACGTGGGATGACTATGTTGGCAGGCTTGCTTCGCTCGCCCATTATGCAATGCACATCGGGTTGAGAGCAGTATCAGCCATTCAATTACAACACACATAGTCCCATACCAGGGATTTCATTAGACAATGTGGCTAGCGATTGTTATATGCTGTGATGTGCGTAGAAACAGCCACACTCTCATATGACCACCAAAGGTGGTTACTTCTTAGCAAAATATACATGGCCATTGGCTGTATTTAACAATGGAATCACTGCCATACAAAAGAGTGCCCAAACACTAATCATGCTACATAGTTGAGTTGCCAATCCAGATGTTTTTTTACACTAGTGTGCTATCAAACAGTTCCCACACAAAAATTACAGTAATGTTGCATGTGTATTCAGCATAAGAGTTTATTATACCTGGGTCCTCTGCAAGGTGACATTAGTCTTGCCAATGCAGCGTGCAGCCTCTCAGTTTGCAGAAGTCTGTACATTAGCCATAGCCCCACAAGCAAGTGGGGGGTGAAAGCTAGACTTGCGAAGATCCTTGTAATAGTTACATTACTAACTATTGCACTGATTTGCATCCATGCAACCAGAAGAACACACATTGTACTTGAAGTGGCGGTGTGAAAGCTCACAGATAAGTTGGCCAAGTAGGTCTTGTATGGGCGCACATATGCAAAGGTAAGAGAGACGATCATGAGGAGAGACCCTACTAGCAAGTATGCCCCCAGAGTGTAGTGTCCTGTTATGTGAGCATTAGTCACCACAAGTAATACCGTGAGCACCATTGTCATCCCAAGTGTACACCTGTAGTCTCGAGTTCCGTTGAGTCCGTTCTTGAAATTTCCATGTAGCGTGTCGAAAAATATCCCAAGCATTATCCTCTTCCTGTGGCTGAGACAGTACTCCAAAATGTTGCGAAATCTCCCGATTGGGTAGAGCATCACTAGTATTGCTGGAAAAAGCCCAAGAGGGACAAGCATCCCATAAGCTGCTGCAATGTATGGAGCATGTTCACGGGTGTATCCTTGTATTGTCGGATCTATTAGCAACCTATTCTTTATTGTGTGAGTGTGTTCATCTATTATAGGTATTAGATCAAGCAGCTTATAGCTTATATAGTTCAGAATACCAAAAGATAGAAAGTATAGTGTGGCAAAACCATGAATGATTGAATCATTGGCGTTTATACTCTGATTCAGCCTGTGAAGACACGCACCAAACGGCCTCCATAGACACACGATGGGTCTGATATTGCGTGCGTGTAATCCAATAAGGAAGAATGTGAACGGAACGAGAATAAGTGGGTACAGTACTCTAATATACTTTAGAGTCATAGCATCAAGGAAACTGATTGTTGGGCTAATGCAGAGTGGCGGTAGGATGTTAAAAGCCCCCAGTGCCCAAATGTTTGATAACACATACGACGCATCGAGAAGGTGTGTAGTACCTTGTGATGAGTTGTCCCTGAGGTAAGTATACATCTCAAACATTTGATTCGATATTGTGGTGTACACCTGACAGAAGATGAAGTATCCCATTAGTGGTCCAGAGCTGATGTTGATGTGAAATATGACGATGAGTATGAAGAATATCGTGATGGGTAGTAGTTCAATTATTAGGTAGAGGAGAACCGTGAGAACGATAGGATACGATGTGCATTCAACACATTTTGGTGTTAGCGATGTAGCTGACACTCCATATCCGTCGGCACATTTAGCACAGAGCAAACCTTTTCTGTTGTTTGGTTCACACTGTGCCTCTTCCAGTCTCTCAGAGTCATTTGGCAGAAGTCTGAAGACTCCTCTGAATGTCTGGTGACCGCTGTAGCTTCCTCTGTGGCAGACTCCAGCAACTGTCACATCTCTTTGCCTGTCCAGTGTCATGCAGTAGTCCAGTCTCAGGTAGACCTCTCCTGATTTTATGCACATAATCGCACCAGAAAGGCTTTTTTGGCAAGTGCAGCGTCCCGGTGATTCCTTGTGTACATGCCATGTTGGACAGGTTTGTCTTCCAAAGACAAGTGCAGAGCCAGCTGCAACCGTCAAGAAAAATGTCAACACATTCATCTTTTGCACTTTGTTCTCGAAGTGCTGTTTGGCTTGCTTTTTATGCCTGTGAATTTTGTGCAAATTTGTAATGTCAGGTTTGTGGACTTTGAAAGTGAAGGCTGATAGAATGTTGCAGTAGCAGGTCACACTGTATGTCCACTTCCTTGATTTGGGACTCTCTTCCGATCTTGTGACTGCCCTTAGTATCCGCCCCCCCCTTTTGCGTCATTATTTTCACCAAATTATCCATTGTTTGTCATGCTTCAGACAATAAGCACTTTCCATTTCATGCGGAAAGGGTTACGTCCCTAGTGGATTATGTACGCACCATAAGTCACGTGTGTATGCCTCACGCTGCATGATATTTTTTACCTGCGTCTTTGGCGTTCTCTGCACCCATTGCTTTCAGGTAAGTATAGAGAACCTGCAGTGTCACTCTCACTTCCGTCCCAGTGTGCATTCTATTTGGACATGATCATGCATGGACCCTTTTGCCTAAATTGTTCAGTTGCAAAATACATACCACTGTTTGTTTCAGGACTCAGATTATGACGTGGACTCAGATGCAGAGTCTGTATGCAGTACCGCATCCAGCAGCTCACTGCAGGTCCAGCAGCCCTCCTTCAAAGTGTTTGTGAGCTATCCACCCTCCGTAAAGAGGGAAGAATTAAAAGAGCATCTCAGATTATGTGGATTCTCTGGTAACGTCAAGAGGTTAAACATGTTTTACGATAAGGGTAAGAAATCAAAGGGATGTGGGTACATTGAATTTGCCCCTCCAAATGTTGGACGCGGCGCAATCAATACTCTTAAAAGTATGCTTTTGCTCGGAAAACATAAAATGGATGCCAAAAAGTATACTGGAAGAGTAAGGAAAAAATCACCACAGCATAAGGCAAGGAGGGCTTCCAAGAAAAGCGAAGCATGTCCACCAGTAGAGGAGGATAGCAGTGAATTGATCAAGGTGTTTGTTGGAGCGGGTGTCGGTTGCACTCTTCCAGATAGTATCACAACTGCCCATCTTGAGGAGCATGTGCGGGGGTTTAAGTCCGCTATACAACGGGTTTTTATTGCAACAGATCCACGGACAGAGCAGTCCAAGGGTTATGGGTTCGTGTTTTTCAAATCTAGACGAGCTGCAGAGACAGCCATAAAGAAACTTAGTGGAAGTGTTCTCCATGGCTGTAGGTTGAGTCTAGAGTTTTCCAAACATAAGGAGGGAGAAATTAAGGATAATCCTCCCCCAGTAGAGTCCAGTGGCACTAAGGTCTTTGTTGGGGCTCAGGTGGGTGGTAAGCTTCCAAGCACTATTCAAAGTGTCCATCTACAGGCGCATTTCTGGGAATTTGAAAAAGTACTTCAAAATGCGGTCATCATTACAAATCCAACAACAAGCCAGTCAAAAGGGTATGGATTTGCTATCTTCAAAACCAAAGGCGCTGCAGAAGCAGCTATACGAAAGCTTGGTGGAACTGACCTCTACGGATGCAAACTCAAACTCGAGATTGCGAAAACAAAAGAAGAACATACAACCCATGGAAGTAGCTCTCAGAGCTCAATGGCAACAGGCTATTCATCTAAAGAGCGGGAAGCGGCCACTAGCCAACAAGAAGTCGGTGGTAATAGAGTCTATGTTGGGCCTCAATCTGGTGGTAGGCTTCCTAGCAGTATCCAAAGTATCCATCTAAAGACTCATTTTTGGAAATTTGAACACACCCTAGAAGAAGTGTTTATAGTAACAGATCCAAGCACTAAGCAGTCAAAAGGGTTTGGGTTTGCAGTTTTCAAAAGTAAGCGTGCAGCAGAGGCAGCAATAAGGGAGTTCAATGGAAGCAGTCTCCATGGCTGCACACTCAAGCTTGAGATAGGCAAGCAGAAAGCAGATGGTGATCAGAGCACTGCAAGCAGAAGTAGCTCCCAGACCTCAGTGGCTGGTACACACGCAGCCGTTTCTCGACAACCTAGAAAGGCAGGGTTTCCCAAAGACCCAGTTCCACCGAAACAAGGCAAGCAGTTTAAGGTGTTTGTTGGTGGTTTGCGGCATAGCGTTCAGGATAAACACCTCCAGGAACACTTTTCGGCGTTTTCTTCAGATATTGTAAATGTTTACATGTATATTCCTGGAGGTGATCAGCCGAGAAAATGTGGCTTTGTTGTTTTTTCATCTCACGAAGCAGCTGAAAGGGCCATATCAGCCCTTAATGGCACAAAGTTGAATGGAGGTGCAATTAGAGTTCAGCGTGATAAGCATGCATCCAAACCTGCCTCTCATACACCAAGTGTACCAAGTGCCGTGGGTACCAGTGCTCCTGTCCAACCTCCTCCCCTTAGTCCATGTCTACCAAGTGTTTTTAATACTAGTGTACATTTGCAGCTTAGCCCTGCTATCCCTAATGTACCAAGTACATTTGACACTAGAGTACCTGTGCAATCCGCTCCTCCTATTCCGAGTGTATCAAGTGTCATTGATGTACCAAGGCAATCCGCTCCTCCTACTCCTAATGTACCAAGTATCAGTGATACCTCTGTGTTTGTGCAACCTGCCAGTATCATTGATACAAGTGTACCTGCACATCCTTTCCCGACTATTTCTAGCGTACCAAGTATCTTGGATAGCAGTGTACCTGTGCATCCTGCACCTTTGTTACCTGTTGCCCCTCAGTCTTCCAACACAGTCTTGCTTTCAAACCTAAACCCTGAGATTGATGAAGACACAATCAAAGCACTGTGTAAAGGTATAGTAACTGGCATCAGGTTTATTCCAGTAGATTCCGCTTCTAAGCAATCTGTTATCACATTTTCGTATGTTGATGATGCTAAGACCGCAGTTGGCGAATTAAATGGAAAGTGTTTTCTAGGTCAGAAAGTGATGGCTTCTTTTCATCTTGGGCATTCTCCTAGGGTAGAAGTAAAAGTTGGAAACCTCATCTCCCCTTTAGAAACCCCACCCAGTATTGAAGAGCTCATTCAACTAAGATCTGCCGAATGGAATCTGTTGACATCTGTCAACCCAGCAGGCTCCAGTCTTTACCAAGAGCTGACAGAACCGTTTAAAACCAATCCAAACGTAAAGATTGATCTTCTACCGCCTAAAGTAGCTATTCAGCTCACTGGTCAGAAGGACGCTGTGGAGAGTGCACACTGCCACTTCAAATCCCAGCTCCAGAGACACATCCCCGTTCAAGTGTAAGTCTAGTGTAATCTATCATGTAACATTCACCATGTGACTGCTCATTTCCCTCTCTCCTTCTTAGGGATTTCGTACAGACACTCATGGAGGTTCACCCTGACTTTTCCAAGCACACGACCGAAAGGTATGGAGTTTGTGTGACAGGCATTCACGATAAGAGTACGTTGATAAAACTCGATGGCTCGGGAGGTGTAGTAGCTACAGTTCGCGAAGCAATCAATGCGCTCATTGCCGGATTTCAGCGTTCAGTGGTGCAGACACAGCTGCCCCTAACAGGCCACCTTCTTGCCTCAGCACAGAAGAGGCTGAATGACGAAAACGTTGCGGTCCGACTTTTATTTTCTCCTGACGCTCCCCAGAAAGTGGACGTTTACTCATTTTCGCCCAATGACCACCTCAAAGCACTCAAGATTGTCTCTTCAAAGCCTTTCGTCAAGTATGTCCCATTTCAGGCTAGCCCCTCCCTGAAACAGATCCCCCTTCAAGAAGTAGAGGCTGAGTTTTCTGTGTCTGTTGCAATGGCTGAGGCAGAGGGAAAGATATACGTCAATGGTTTTGTGAAGCAGGGTGTGACATCTGCTCAGGAACAAGTAGCTTCTTTGGTTTCTAAATTTTCTGTTCAGTTTTCCTCCTTTGCCTGTGGTTCTGAGCAAATGCTTTACCTGAAACAGAAATTGAAGTACCAACGGGAAGTAACGCAAAGGTTTCTTGAAAGCCTGCCAGCAGAAGTCTTGATAGAACCAAACAGGCCTCTACATTTCAAAGGAAGTCCGAAAGATATTGAAATTAGCCAAAAGCAGCTTCTTGAGGGGCCACTCTTACATGGTTTGCAATTCCAGGCCTTCCCTTTCACAGCACAGGATAAATTCTTTCTGCAGCTTGAAAAGCATGTCCTCAAACCAATGAAAAGGGAGCACACAGGTTTTGAATACGTCCGGAGTGGCTCAGAAGTAGAGCCAGACCAAAGGAAGGGGAGGAGAGGATCTGCAAGGAGCGAAGAGTCAGAATTCACTGTCACAGTGTTCAGTCAGGAGCCTGAGGTCTTTGACAAGGCAGTGATTGCCCTGGAAGATATCACTCCATGTGTCAGGACCCTGAATGTTGCCCACAGCAACGCCATAGAGTGCGTGCAGCAACACATAGAAGCTCATGAGCAACAGTACAGAGTAAGGATCGTTGTTCCAAAGGACTCCAATACAAGAGTCCTCGTATTTGGCCTGACAGAGAGAGAAGCTGGCCAGTGTCTAGCTCAACTTAGAGAGTCCATTGACACAACTGTCGAAGCCGAGAAGTATGTGAAGGTTGACCACAATCAAATCAAGTATTTCAAGCAGAAGAAAAGTGAAGAGTGGGAAGAACTGCAGGGAATGTGCAAGTCTTTCAGAGTGTATGACAAGCAGAAGCAGGAAAAGGGTACCGCACTTATTCGCATTGAAGGTACACTGCGACAAGTCAAAACATTTTGCCAAAGACTAGATACAATGAAAGCACTTGAATACTTTTCGAGAATGTTTTCTGTGTCAGTCGAGAGAAGGTACAATAATATGTGGCTGAAGTTTTGGGATGCCGTGATAAAAGAGAGAGAAGAAAGCCTTGACCTCATCATTGTTGTTGATTCTCCAAAGAGGCTTGCCTCCAGATCCAGCAGCAGTGCTGAAAACAAAATGGAGTATGAGTTTTCTGTATGTGGCGGTGATGAGAATGGCACAATTGAAGTCGAATGGGAATTTTCTGATCCACAGATTGAACAGAAAGCTGTTAGACTGTCAGAAACAGCTGTAAGGGAGCTGGAGAAGGGAAGAAAGGAAAAGAAGCTCGAAGTTGATCGGTACTTTGTTGATGTCTGCATTGATGTCAAGGAAAGCAAAGTGATCCTGACAGCACCTACTGGATGTAAAGATGACTTGGAGGCAGTAGAAGGAGAAATTGAGCGCTATGTTTCAAACCGCACTTTCGGAGATAGAGAAATCACTGTCAATGACCCAGTCCTTGCTCTAATACTTGGCTCCAAGTCGAAATCTTCTGCTCATCTTGCCTTTGCCAACCAGCTCTCAAAGCCACATGGTGTGAGTGTCCAGTGTCTCAGACATCCGCAGTGTGGGATGAGACTAAGGGGAAATCAAGATTCCCTTGATCTGGTGGAACCTCTAATTCGCCAGAAAGTGATTCGAGAGATTCAGTCAACAATAGATGAAATTAAATTCCCTGTGATTTCATCACTCCTCCCTTTCTTTGAAACCCCAGAGTTTGTCCACTTCAGCGCTAAAATCAGGGATGAGCTCTGTGTTTTGTGCCACTTCCCAAAGGTGCGAGGGGAGAACCAAGTCATCAAGACTGCGTTCCTCAAGACGGCCTCTGCAGACATCCGTATCAAGCTGGAAATTTGCAAGGGTGACATTACAAATGAAGAGGTGGATGCAATAGTCAATGCTGCAAATGAAGACCTGAAACATGTGGGTGGTCTAGCAAAAGCCATCGTACAAGCTGGTGGAGACTCGATCCAGATGGAGTCAGACTTGTACATTCTACAGCACGGGAAACTCAAGGCAGGAGGTGTGGTCTGTCTTGGGGCAGGGAACCTTGCATGCAAGAAGGTTCTCCATGCAGTCGGGCCTCGGTGGGTGGACGGGAGGAGTGGAGAGGAACAAACTATATATTTCACAGTGTTAGTTTGTCTACGTGAGTGCCAAAGAAAGGGACTTGAAAGTGTTTCCTTTCCTGCCATTTCCACTGGCATATTTTCGGTGCCTGACCACATATGCATACAAGCTTCTCTGAAAGCAGTTCGGGATTTTTGTCAGGTGACAACAATGTCAGCTATCACCAACATCCGCTTTGTTTTATGTCATAGTCATGTTGCGCAAAGGTTTGCTCAAGCCTTAGAATCTGACGTCATGATGGACTGCATCGTTCGTATGTCTGAGGTCACTTCCTCTCCTGCTGCACCTGAGAGCCACACCTGGGAATGGATGTATGATGATGGTTCCTTCTTGCCTTACCAAAAGGATGTCAATACATTGTTGAATGACAGTTACGGCCAGGATCCTAAAGGAGAAGTTTCGTTTCGTGTTGGCAAACACACATACGCTGTTGATTTCAGTACAATGTTGCAAACCAATTTGCATACCAAATGCCAAAGGCAGATAAGGCAGGTACCTGCCGCTTTTACTCTGTCTTCTCCCACCTCAGTTCAGTGGAATTTTATGAATGACTATCAGAAGTGGACCCCATACAGTCCCTCTGACTCACAGGCCATTGAAACAACGTTCCAAAGCCAGATCCGTGGTCAGCGTACTATCAAAGGAAGAACATACACTTTTGACTTCACCAGTATGTGCCAGATCAATATTGATACATCCTACAAACGTCCCATCCAACGCTCAGTAGTCAATCCTGCACTAGAAGCTACTATGCCTGACCAACCCAAGGAACGGAAGGAGAGGAAAGTGACAGTGACACTCCGTGGTCCAAGGGCCAACCTGACAGTCGCTAAAAGAAGACTCGATGAGAAGCTGGACGGTGCCCTGGCAAATGGAGATATCACTTTCCCCAGTTCTCTTGAGGGGAAAATTTTGGGAATTATCCAACAGCAAAAGCTTGACTTCAGAATGGAGTCTGCTGCTGCTGACCAAAAGGGAAATAAGAAACGTGTTACCTTTAAAGGTCTGTCATCTTCGGTGACCAAAGCAACAAGTGCTATACAGGAGGAGATCATCAACTACCATGTCGCTGCTGCTGAGCAGTCAGCAGTGGCATTACCTCCAGAGTGGGAGCCTCAGACACAGAACCTCCAGCTGTGCCGAGTAGCCCAGGGCTCACCAGAGTGGAATAGAGTGGTGGAGAATTTCCTGAAGACCCTGTCCAGTGTGAGGGTCACTGAGGTGACCCGAATCCAGAACAAGTGGCTGTGGGAGAGATATGTCCTGCACAAGCAGCGACTCTCCTTCAAGAATAATGGAAGTGTCAATGAAATGGAGCTCTTCCACGGCACACGAAAAAATGACCCGAAGCTTATCTACGAAGGGGAAGATGGTTTTGACATGCGCTTCAGCTCGACTGGGATGTGGGGACTGGCAAACTATTTTGCTGTGAATGCCAGTTACTCCGGTGCCTATGCCTACTCCAGAAGTGATGGGACAAAGGAAATGTTCATAGTCAAAGTCCTCACAGGAGACAGCTACCAGTCCCCCTCTGACCAACAACTCCGCATGCCACCGGAGAAGCCAAGAGCTGTGGGTGGGAAACTGCCGTTTTCAAGAGTTCGCTATGATACTGTTACTGGAACGACCAGGGGAAGTCAAGTCTTTATGGCTTATGACAACGACAAGGCATACCCAGCCTATCTTATTCAGTACTACTGAATAACTCAACAAGCGTAGTGTATTTTGTCTGTTACTATAGTAACCATACCTGCTAAAACTGTGACTACATATTAGAAAACATTTTAGTGTGAGGCTACTTATTCTGATCTCAGCAACCCGTGTCATTACGTGTAAACGTATAATGTCGCTACGTGTAAACGTATAATGTGTGGCCCCTGAGGATCTCCGTACCTCTGCACCTTTCAGGGCAACATGTTCTTGGTATAGTTGCGCAAACCTACGCAGCACCGTCCCTAGTCCAAATTAGAATGGGGAATAGTTTTCAGACGGCGATGCGCATCCATAACTGAAGTCAAAATTTTTTTCGAGCAACATTCAGGGGAAGTAAGTGAAATGTGGCGTACATAGTTCCCCCATTTTTCTGAAGGCGAGTCTCGTCCTAAATTTAACCTGTCCTTATGATATTATACGCAAATGAGGGGCATGTGTATGGTCTGCAGAAGCGGTTCTACTACAAGCCTCTACTTCCAAGTCCCAGAGAAAATTTTATGATGTAGTGACTTGAGCATTATAAGGTTATGGGTCGGCTGTTGTGACTCAAGAAATTTGGGATGTGAAAAAAGGGTGTGTTTTTAGTAAGTCTATAATAGATAGTCTCAGTTGCACAGGAATCTTCCCTTTGTCGATAGCATGAGCCTTGACAAATCACAGTGTGTGATTGTTTTATGAAGTTTGTTCCTTGCTTACCTAACGCAAAAAAATGCAAACGCCCTTGGCGAACTGCGCATGCGCGGTACTGCTAAATTGATGGGATTCTATTGGTATGCGTTTACTCGTGGTCTCCTGCTAGTAGCTCGCGGAGAGTCTGACACAGGCTAAGGTACAGTAGTAGTCTGTAGCATGCGGGAGTCGATACACACCCTTCGTTGTGACATCTTGTGCCTTCAAGATACACAGAGCAAGCGGACCCGGTCGAGGTAGCTAAGCCTGTGGTGATTAGCAATTGGTTTTTTCACTCGTGTTTCACGCCGTAACTCCCGAACGTAGCTGTTTCAGAGAAAACCCTACATACGTTTCGACTTTTGTCCGACACTGAATACGTGATATTGTTTGTGGAGCGATTGATGGCTCGAGGAGTGAGATGTCGAGTGACTGACTGACTGACAGACACACACCGACAACTACCGTAACCCTCACTGCGCATGCGCGCCGAGGGTTAACTCACTCTGGAAAACAAAAATCCTGATGTATGCTTTATTGTTATACGAAAACCCAGTCCTATTTTATTATCCCAAAACGGATAGAATTTCATGCACTATGACCAAATGTTTTCTTGGAATGTGTTTCACTTACCAAATGTATCCCAAGATGGTTATGTCAGTGAAAACAAACCGGAGGAGAAGATAAACTGAAAGCCAAAACACTCCCTGACAGAAAGATACACAAGAGCCCTATATATTGGGCTTCAGTTTATCCTTTTTTCTCATAGGACTGGATGAGAATGAGAGACAGTTTTCTACTAGCTTGTCTGATCCTCTCAACAGCTGGTAGCCCTTTCCGTTCAGGCACCCACAAAGATAGTGTGCAGTGGAGGAATAAGCCATCTACAAGTGTTGCGGAACTTCATGAGCGTTGTCGCCCTTGGGAATTCTGGAGCAGTGAGCGCCAAGCCTGCGTTTGTTCGCATTCTCTGCTGCAGACGGTTTCTTGTCAAAACAAACCTTACGTCCTGAACATTTTTGCCTGCTTTTGCATGACACATGACAACAAGACAGACGAGTTGCTAGTTGGAGCTTGCCAGCTCACCTGCGAAACTGCAAGGGGATACTACACTAATATCACAGCAAACACCGGCTCTGAAATAAACAGGCTAATATGCGACAGATACAAGCGACAAGGCCAGCTGTGTGGTAGCTGTAAAGAAGGTTATTCTCCCGCAGTGTATTCGTACTCTCTATCCTGTGTCAAATGTACTGGTAGCAACTGGGGAAAGTACATTGCAGTCTCCCTTCTCCCAGTTACTGTCTTTTATATTGTGGTGGTCACTCTCAGACTCAGTGCTGCATCTCCACTGATGAATGGGATGGTAGTATGTCTACAGCTGTTGCTCTCTCCTCCTCATCTGAGACTCTATGTAAATAGTGAGTCCTTTGTGTTTGGAGCCCACAGTTGACGCTCAGCTCTTTTTCCTGACATTCTATGGCATTTGGAACTTAGACTTCTTTCGCCTGGTGTACAAACCTTTCTGCCTCCAACCTAACACCAACACTCTCCAAGTCATTGCTTTGGACTACCTCATTGCTGTCTATCCCCTCATATTCATAGCTCTTTCCTACCTCCTACTGTTGCTCTATGACCGTAATGTTCGTGTCGTTGTTTGTCTCTTTAAACCATTTGTGCATCTCTTCATCCGGTTTCGCAGACAGTGGAACATAAGGAACTCACTAGTAGATGCCTTTGCTACTTCCCTACTTCTCTCCTATGTCAAAATCCTCAGCGTGTCCATGGACCTGCTTTTGCCTGTAGCTTTGTATCATCAGAATGGGTCAAGACTTTCTCAGCTCTACCTCTTCAACCAGGGAGACGTAGCCTACTTTAGCAGCCACCACCTGCCCTATGCCTGTCTGGCCCTCTTCTTTCTCCTCACCTTCACACTGCTGCCAATGGCCCTCCTGTTCCTCTACCCCTGCTCCTGTTTCCAGGTCTGTCTCAACCGCACAGGGCTCAGCTGCCAGTCCCTACACATCTTCATGGACTCCTTCCAGGGACACTTCAAGAACGGTACAAATGGAACTTCAGACCTTCGATTTTTCTCAGGACTCTATCTCCTTCTGAGAGTTTCAGTGTTTGGATCTACTGTGTTGACGTATCAGATAGCTAGCTGTGCATACACTGCTGCTTTCCTTTCTATTATAGCCATTACTGTTGCTTTGGTTCAGCCCTACAAGAGGAAAGTTCACAATGTTATTGATGCAGGCTTTCTAACAATCATACAGTTGCTGATTGTAACACTGACTCCTCTTGGATTTGGCCGGTTTAGCAGATTGGAACACGGTCTCTCGGTAGTAAATTGTGTTCTTCTTATTCTTCCTTTCTTATACATCACAATACTGGCAGTGTGGAAACTTAAGACACTATGTTGTCTCCCAGCCTGTTGTCTTCAGCTGCATAATAGAGTGAAATCACTCATCCACAGACAAGAGTACGATACCTTATGAGCTAAGGCACAACCCGAGCTCACGCTCACCAATTCACAGATTGTGACTATAAACAGAATTCAAACTACACATTCATAACTATAGGTAGTCATTTTGTCCCTGTTATAATACTCACGATTGCTCTCACTCGCGAAGGAGTACCTACCTACTTAGTACCATACAGGAGAAATTTCATAAACAGCCCACCCAGAAAATTGTTTGTAGTCACTCTGGAAATTGTGATGATTTCAGTTGTGTATCAATGTGTAATATTATTTCTTCGTGATGAACACGACAGGCATCTATCTGAACACAGTGTATGGATTCTCACTGATGTTGCCTTAGGTAGGTACTCTGTTAGTTTCACTTACTATTGTAAGTCTTCAGTCTTCTCAGAGTGTGTACCACAGGTGTGTCCTCTACACACAGAGCAATCAGCTTATTTCGATCCAACACGATGGGCAATATACAATCATCCCAAACCGACTATTATTGACTTTTTGTAGGTATGAGTGGTTCACACACTCCACAAAAAGTACGCAAGGTTATATTCCCTCAGGAAAAGAAAGGTGAACTAAATCGTGTGAATTCGCAGTATAGTGGGACAGAAAAAAAGTGCACAGAATTTAAGTATGGAGTGCTATTGTGTACTTTTATGAGTATACAGAGTAGTTACAGGAAATTTCGTAATCCGCGGCAGTAGGTATAGACTGCATACGCATGCGGAGTCACTAGTGGCATAGATATCCATGCAAAGTGCACACGAATCAGGTGCTTAATGGTTTAAATATGGCGTGCATTGCTGTCAATATTAGTTAGTTAACACTGAAACTTCAGAGCACTCGTGTGCTCATACAAACAGGATATATATGCCATTTATAAACCATAAAATGTTTAGTGGTCAAAATAATTATTAAAGCCGCGTGTTTTGTAGAGCCTAATCGGTCTTTTCAACATTGACACCCATCTGATCGTGATCTGCGTCACGATGCCGTATGAACAGTTCTTTATGAGGGATGAATAACTTTTAGATGAGGTGCATTGTGGAAAATTCTGTAAGCTAATACAAACAAATGGAGTCAGAACTGACACACAGTGGATAAGGCTAGACTAGTAAGGTTATGGGTCGGCTGTTGCTACTCAAGAAATTTGGGATGAGAAAAAAAGTGTGTCTTTCTTGTTTTAGTAAGTCTATAATAGACAGTTGCACAGGAATCTTCCCTTTGTCGATAGCAGCCTTGACAAATCACAGTGTGTGATTGTTATGTTGTCTTTATGAAGTGCAAACACCCTCTGCGAACTGCGCATGCGCTATACCGCTAAAATTGATGGGGTGTGCTATTGGTATGCGTTTACTCGTGGTCTCCGGCTAGTAGCTCGCAGAGAGTCTGACACAGGCTAAGTGCAGTAGTAGTCTGTAGATAGCATGCGGGAGTCGATACACACACCATTCGTTGTGACATCTTGTGACTTAAAGATACACAGAGCGAGCGGACCCGGTCGAGGTAGCTAAGCATGTGATGATTAGCAATTGCCTTTTTTGCTCGTGTTTCACGCCGTAACTCCCGAACGTAACAGTTTCAGAGAAAACCCTACATATTTTTCGACTTTTATCCCACGCTGAATACGTGATATTGTTTGTGGAGTGATTGATGGCTCGAGGAGTGAGATGTCGAGTGACTGACTGACAGACACACACGAGAACCACCATAACCCTCGCTGCGCATGCGCGCCGAGGGTTAACTCACTCTGGAAAACAAAAATCCTGATGTATGCTGTTTTATTGTTATACAAAAACCCAATCCCTATTTTATTTTCCCAAAAAGGATAGAATTTTCATGCACTATGACCAAATGTTTTTTGGAATGTGTTTCACTTACCAAATGTATCCCAAAATGGTTATGTCAGTGAAAACAAACCGGGAGAAGATGAACCGAAAGCCAAAATACTCCCAGACAGAAAGATAAACAAGAGCCCTATATATTGGGCTTCAGTGTTCCTAGTTTATGCTTTTTTCTCATAGGACTACATGAGAATGAAAGACAGTTTTCTACTAGCTTGTCTGATCCTCTCAACTGCTGGTAGCCCTTTCCGTTCAGGCACCCACAAAGATAGTGTGCAGTGGAGGAATAAGCCATCTACAAGTGTTGCGGGACTTCATGAGCGTTGTCGCCCTTGGGAATTCTGGAGCAGTGAGCGCCAAGCCTGCGTTTGTTCGCATTCTCTGCTGCAGACGGTTTCTTGTCAAAACAAACCTTACGTCCTGAAAATTTTTGCCTGCTTTTGCATGACACATGACAACAAGACAGACGAGTTGCTAGTTGGAGCTTGCCAGCTCACCTGCGAAACTGCAAGGGGATACTACACTCAGAACTGACACACAGTGGATGTGAGGCTTGCTTCACTAGCCCAATTCGAAATAAAATCTCTTTATGAATCAATGTTAGCTACTGGTCTTTGGCCTGAGAATAAGGAAATTGTACTAAAAATGGATATAGAACATTAGCCAGGCTCACCAATGCCTCTAGCTCCTCTGGAGTTGGTTCAGTTTGGTTATACTTGTACTTCAGTAGTTCAACCGCTTCAATTTGTTCTGCTTTTACAGCAACAGCAATGGGTCTAGTGCCATCCTATGATGTTTGGCATAGTATTCGAGATGGTATAGCTATACAATAGATTCTGGTTCTACCATTAAGGTGTGCCTAAGCCTAGTGATGCGATATGCGTCACGAGAATAAAATCCATTTCTATTCTTGCAGCATAATGCGACACAGCATTGCACATCATCACAGTGCAATACTATTGCTAACTCAGCATAACACGCATTGGTTTTACTGTGTATAATATACCTCAGAGAGTACTCCAGGGTCAACTCCATACTTGTCTACCAACAGCTCTATTGCCTCAGTCTGGCCTTGGAAGGCGGCATAGTGGATAGGCTGAGATCCTTCCTGGAAATGTCAGTTAGGCAAGTACTGCACACACATAATTGACATGAACGCAACTATACCGTCGCAGTTGTATCTGCAGGGACATTGTACACCTCAATCAAGAGTTGAATTATTTGTAATTGACCGGCCAATGCAGCATAGTGCAGTGGCTGTATGTCTGACTATTATAAGGACAATAGAGCAGCATCGGAATTAATTGAAAAACAACATGCACAGCAGCTCTTACATCTGCCTTGACTTGTGGGTCGACTCCAAAATGATCAATCAGAGAAGTCAGTATCTCTGCATTACCAGCGATTGCAGCATGGTGGATTGCCTGGATACCCTCCTGACACAGATGATGAGCATTAATTTGAAATGCGTGCTGTATACGTGAAATATTGTGTTACTGTACATTTCCTGGGCTTCTTGGGTCCACTTTGTACTTGACTATCAGATGTTGCAAATTATCAAGGTTGCCGTATATTGTAGCACTGTGAATAGGTTGTACACCATCCTCTTTCTAAGTCCGAACGGTCAATTTCGTTATCAGAAATACACACTTGACTTTGTCTACCTTCTCATAAGGGTCGCAATGATATTCATCAATCAGAATGTCAAGTATCCTTGGGGTCTTTGCAAAATGAATGGGTCGTGAGCCATCCTGTTGAGCACACTCAATAGAATCACTCCATCGCAAACACTTTTTGGTTATGGTAATGTATGGTGCATCGTGTGTCCATGTTGTGGGGTGCAGTGCACACTTTACACATCGCCTTCAAAGGGTATGTACCAGGTTAGGATGATTCCCCTGATTAATAATATTATGGAAAATAATGTACTGAAATTTACCTCTAAGCGAGCAGTTGGACTAGCTCCAAAAACTTCAACAAGCAGTCTCAGTACTTTTTCATGGCCTTTGAAACAAGCACCGTGAATTGGCTGGAAACCATCCTACAAGTTAGTGGTATGAATAATATGTTTGTATATACAGTTTTAAGGCTTACATTGCTGGTCGAATCAGGTTTTACGTGGAAGTCCTCTATGAGCATTCTTACCACCTCTTCGTGACCTTCCTGAGCCGCATGGTGAATTGGCTGCAATCCATTCTGTGGACCCAGTCACAAGTTCTGCCTGTCACTTATAGCTACTACACACATGTAAATCAGCACTAGCCTTTGCGGTAGATGTAGGGTCAACTCCATGCTCAGTGATTAGATATTTCACCATATCACACTGTCCATGCATGGCAGCAATATGAATAAGACGATCCTCTTCCTGCAAGGTTTACTTGCTCTATACAAGCATGCATAATGGAGAAAGTGCTTACAATTACTGGTGTGTTAGGGTCGATGTGGTACTTTTGGACCAACAAGCGAAGCATTTCAATCTGTCCATATTTTGCAGCAAGGTGAATAGGCTGAAAACCACTCTGTGAGATGAGATTACAAAAATCTATTTCACTACCGAATATCACACAATCACATATTTAGAAGAGAATATTGAGAGTTACATTTTGCAGAACCCGGCATCAAGCTTAAACTATGCTAAAAACAGCCGAAAATTACAAAAGCAGCAAATTTAATCTGTTTCTAGCAGTGCAGCAAAGTCACTGTAAGGTAAGTTGGGTCTTAAGTACTGCATTGTGAGCCATACCGTTACTGATACGGTAGGGTCTGCTCCCTGCTCCTCACACAGCCAGTTTAGAATATCAACACACCCATATTGAGCACAGATATGTACAGGAGTCAATTCACTCTGAATGATACACAGTAAAGTTTTGCAATGACGACACCACAATATTCTCACGTTAGTAGCAGCATCAGTGGGGCTGGCATTGTATTTCTTGATCAACAACTGAACAATCTCTCCATGGTTTCCACTAATGGCCGTGTGTAATGGTGGACTACCATCCTGAGAATATTATGACAAAGAGTGGGTCAAATTGTTACTTTACACTGTGTACTTGACAGCTATCTATGAGAAAACAAACACTGGCTAATCAAAGCAACTCACTCCATCTCCTACATTGGGATCCATTCCATGATTGTCGACAAGCTCACAAAGCAGCTCTTTGTGACCATGTCCACAGGCAAAGTGAATGGGCTGCCAGCAGAGCTCATTCTCTGTGCATGTTGCCGCACTAGACCCCATTCTTATGAGAGCTCTGACCATCTCTAGCTGTCCCTGAAGAGAGGCCAAATGAATTGGATTGGTTCCATCCTGTGTAGTCATTAGAGCCACTGTTTAGCTGATGGACGTGTTATTTTACACAATACCTGTGCTACAGGTTCAATTGGTACTTTGCACTCCATTACCAGGTATTTAGCTACATCAACGTGGCCATAACATGCTGCCATGTGAAGGGGTGTCAGTCGAACCTGTGCGGAAATAAAAGGTATGGCTACAGCAAAATTATTACTCCTGATCTAACATTGTTACGTGCATCTGGTGGGACACCATGGTGTTCTACTAGTGCCTTCACTATGGGTAAATGTCCTGCTCTTGCAGCAATGTGGATTGCCTGGGTCCCTTCCTGTCAATGAAGTAAATGCACATCACAGTGTTATAATTGGTCATTGTGTCAGTAAAATAAAAAAGGGCTAAATTTAGAAGGAATTTGGCTGCACTTGGCCCTTTTATTTATCTCTAACATTAAATTCAGCCCTTATGTACTGACACATTCCTTTATTAACTCACACTATTAGTCAGACGTGGGTCCATGCCTTTGCCCTTGATCAAATCTGTGATAGTGTCAATTTCCCCGAAGTAAGCAGCCTTGAGAATCAGCGGCATATCCAGATCCTGCAGACACTACCTAGTGTCACATGGTAATACTGTGACACACCCTACCGGCTTTGTTTCAGAAATTACTGCAGGCATGGGTTTACTCGTCACTACCTTCAATGGGGGTATGTAAAAAATTAGCTGAGTTGATGAAATAGAATCTAACCATTCCTGTGTAGAATTGTGCTGGTGCCTGTGTTTGCTGCAAAGGTTGGGCATTCATGATAAAGCAGTTGCAAAATTAATGTCTTTTATAGCTGTATACCTGCACATGTGAAAGAACTGACATATTAATGGTGCAGCCATATCTTTCTGTGAGTAGTTCAAGAACCTTCCAGTTGTTGCCAAACTGGGCCATTAGCACTGGAGGCAGGACTCCCTAACACACAGAAATAATATGTTTGGCAGGCCTCTGTGCCTTAATAATAAATACTTCACTCCTTGAGTTAGGATCAACACCAAAATCATCCACCAATGCTTTAATGACGTCAATGTGGCCTTTCATAGTTGCAAAGTGGATTGGTTGGAGACCACCCTAGTGTAAGAACAAATTGTTTCACCACTTTCTGCCGCAAACTGCAGAGTGTCATAGCTAGCTACCTCAGCAGTGGCGTTGGGGTTGACTTGAAACTCTCCAATAAGTACTTTGACGGCCTCTGTCTGACCTGCCTGGCATGCACAGTGCAAAGGTTGAAGGTCGACCTGCAGCAATGCATGTAGCTATAGCAAGTGATGTATGTCAAGACACTATACTGCAAGTAATAACAATTTGACCTGCTAGCATATCAATGCTGGCGGTTGATATAAAGAGAGAGCTGCAGATACGGCTAATGTTCAATACCTTGTTTGACTTTGCAGAAGGGTCAACAGTAGGTAGTGAGGCAAGATACCTGAGTATGTCAATATGACCCATCAATGCTGCCATGTGCACTGGCTGGAGGCCGGCCTACGACATAATATCCATAATAATATACATACATCTTCTTCACAATTTTCACACACAATAACCTGTGAAGGCAGCGACGGATCAACACCGTACTTTTCAATCAGTTTGGTGACAATATCCAGTTGATTTCTGCCTACAGCGAGATGGATTAACTCACCAGCATCCTGTATGTATAATATAATATACAATTGTGTGTTCATCCATTGATGCGGCAGTATAATTCTAGACACCGACCTTCACTACAGCCCTAGGACTCACTCCCTCCTCATCCAGCAGGTATTCTACTATTTCAATGTGTCCTCTTCTAATGACAATGTGAACAGCTTGGTGACCATCCTGTCAACAATTGATGAGAGTTTTCAGACTTGCCCCGTCACTGAGTGTCCAAACCTTGTTACTGGTTCCCGCTTGGACTCTCCCCTCTGTGAGTATTTCCTTTATCTTTTTCAAATCACCATCCTCAACAGCTTTAAAGTAGTCGTCTGCGGCGCTTGCTGTAGATTCCATCATACTGGCGTATGTAGCTAGCTATCTATGTCAGCCTCGCGGAGCCACGCCTTCTCAACTGCGCCAGGACTTTCGATCGCGTGCCATACGCCCACTTTCGCCTCGCCCGGCCTGCGGATATGATCGCCTCTGGATGTAGAGATGGCCGCCCTGTATAATTATAGCAGGACAGAATGAGCAGGCGCTTAGGTTAGACTCTGGTGTAGATACTAATCTTATAGATGTATAATTGTCTTATGTATGGTGACAGTTGCTGGGGATATCGCAGCCGTCAACAAGTCCGTCTGTTCCGCTAAGGACAAATGGGAGAAGATTGGGTCTGGTTTGGGACTCAGTCCTACCACTCTTGAGCAAATCGGGACGGATAATCACGGTGATCCTGCCAAATGTCTTTACGCCACAATTTATAAATGGCTGCGTGGGATGGATAAAGCCAGTGAAAGGGGGATCACATGGAGAGCGTTAATTCGTACCCTGAAGACTGCAGAAGTTGGTGAAGTAGATGTGGCCGAACGTCTTATGGCTGAGAAAGGTAAGGAGAAGCAGTCTGTTATAGCAAGTGACTAAATATAGTTTTGTGTAGTGTTGGAAAACCAGGACTAACAGGGGCGTATATAGCTAGCATTGAGGCAGAGGAGGCAGTTGCCTACTCTGTTTTTGCCGACTTATGAATAATTTTATTACAACTTTTCACAGAGTAACCAACGCAATCCTGGCTACGCCCCTGACTAAGTATACCTATACTCAATATTTCCTGTCTTCCTACACTGTTGCATAATTGCATTCAGTTGGTGGTGATCGTATATCACAGGGGCTCAATGATTTATTGTCACATGCACAGGACTTGTGCCCTCTGCACTGCCTGCTGTAAAAAAGCCACAAGTTTCAGTACCACTTGAAGAAGAGGAATTCAAAGGTATGTATATACCGCGTTTGGGAGTCTGCATTTATATTGTACATGTTAGGTGTACAGTCCGCAATTAGTGTAGCCCATTCAGTATGACAATGCAATGTGACTGGCCTTCACTATTTGAAACTAATAGTCATGTGAATCATAAACCAAGAAGTTTTATATCCTTGGTTACAAGTGTTGTCTCAGTTTTGTTTCCTACAAGTACCATCCGTACATAATTTTGAGAAGCCAACCGTTTGCTGTGGCAAAAATATTTCAAGGATTCTATTTACCACTGAAACCAAGGGAAAGATAGTGTAGTATTTCGTTACGGTGGAGAGTGCAGTGAGTGAGCAATGAGAGATAGTATATTCCCTGCGTGTGCTATGCATTGTAGGGGAAGGACTTCTTGTAGTCTAGCCCGCAGACCCTCTCTCTGGTTTGTCATACACAGACACATGTGGTGGGGCTGTGCACGGAAAGAGGGTCTAATGTTTTGCTGGAATGTTGGAATTTAATTATCGTGTGTGTGTTTAACCTTCTATAACATGGTAGTATGTATATTGAACCATGAATATCACTGAAGCTATTGATATTCAAATAGTACATGTTTTGCTCTCTCTTCATGCGGCCTCACAGTGTGCGCCCACGCATGTGTGATCCAGAGAGGGGGTCTGCATGCTAGACAAGCTCCACGTCACCTTACATAATATATCTACTGACACATATTTCCTCCTTTTTACAGACAAGATTGAACTTGGCCTGCAAGACCTGGAGTGGCTTATAACCAACCTAGAGGAAATGGCACCTGGCTGGTTCTTTTTTGGCTTAAGGCTAAAGGTGGAGTATATTCGTTTGGAAATAATCAAGAAAAACAATCCAAGCGACTGTGTTGCCTGTCTGAGGGAAACACTTGTCTGCTGGCTCAATCAAAACCCAAATGCTGGCCAGCTGGTAAAAGCTCTCGAAGAGAATAAGAAATTATTGAAGCACATCAAGCAAAGTCTCAGCCAGTGTGACCACAGAAAAGGTTCGGTTGGAGGGGGGTATTAAGTGTTTTCAGCTCAAATAGGGTTGGATAAAAAGTGCTGGCATAGCTTTAACTTTAAAAATATATATAATTGGCTGTGGTTGTATGTAGACCATTCTCTATGTCAGGTAGCTGGTGCTTATTATGCATATTGGCTTTACACTTGTTTTCGCGCACATCTCTTGTATGCCTTGTGCACCGGTGGTAGCTCTGAAGCTGTTGGTATTCCTTATAGGCCTCCTTGTAGCCTGTAGTGCCAGAAAAAGCGTCGACACACACACACGCAACATGGACCAAGTACTGTAACCCTCGCTACGGATGTGCCCGAGGGTTAGAAAGAAGTGGCATACCACACTCTTCCTCTCCACCCACCAGAGTTTATAAAGGGCTAGTAGTAGCACAACACTGTAGTTCTAGACTAATAAGATTCATCCTTTGTCTTGCCAAAGACATGTGCTAGTCTCTCGTCATAGACAGTTGCACTTTATAGATATGCCTATTCAAATTTTTCTTGCTCCTGTTCCATTCCTCGCGTTCCGTTCCCGCTACTTGTGATGTTCATCACCTACAAATCCACAATAGTGACCATGCATACAGCAGGTGCACATTAATTTTATAACATCCGCACATGCACTACAATGCAATGCATGCTTTACTTGATGCTGGGGGTGCTTGTGGTGTACATTTTGGCCTCCCACATGCTGCTTACATTGTATTGTCCCAGAGTCCTATCTACTGTGTGTTTGTAACAGTTCTGAAAGCGTATAAAGGGAGAGGTGGCAGAAAAACAAGTGAGTATTTGTTTTGTTCTTGCAGAATTGCCACCAGTAACAGCAGGAAACACCCTGGAGATTTACCTAAGAAAGTTCTACTGCAACTCCCCGCAACTTGGTGGAACAACCACGTGGCCACCCACACTGAAGGTTGAATATATCAACCTTAAACTTATATCGCAAGACCAAATTAGCAGTGCCAAACACCAGAAGAAAATAGCAGGGCTTGCTACACAAGGTGAGCTTGGTGCAGCCTTAAATCAGAGCAAAGAACTTGCTCTTGAGGATATTGCCAATTACCCTAGTCCTCGAAAAGTGATCATTATAGAAGGGGCTCCTGGAATTGGTAAGACCACACTTGCCTACAAGCTCTGCCTAGATTGGGCTAACCGGAAATTGCTTACAGAGTTCTGGCTAGTTGTTTATATTCCCCTTCGAGACCGTCTTATGAGGGTTACTGAATCTGTAAATGACCTTCTCCGTTACTTTGGAGACAGCTCCCCAGAAGGTCCTGAATTTATTAAACGTAGCCAGGGCAAAGGGATACTCTTTGTTCTGGACGGTTGGGATGAGCTGCAGATGTCTTGTCGCCTGCCAGACAGCTTTTTCCCTAAACTCGTTCAAGGAAAATTTTTACCTCAAAGCAGCATCGTCATCACTTCTCGTCCTGGAGCATTTGATTGCGATATACGTCAATACGCTAATCGTCTGATCGACATACTTGGTTTTACAGAAGAGCAGGTAATGCAGTACATACGGTCATATTTCAAACAGTATGAAGATGAAGGTGCAGCACAGAAGCTTATCGATGAATTACAGACGTATCCAAACATAGCCAGCACCTGCTATGTAGCCATCAACTTAACTATATTGTGTTATGTTTACCTTGCCTCTGACTTTCACCTTCCTCTTACTCTCACTGAAGTGTACGAACAGTTTGTGTTACATGCAATCAAGCGCCATTTCAAGAGGCTAGCTGAAATCGATGACCCCAACAAGATCAATACAGAAGGTGTTATTGGTGTTCGGGCAGTTGCTGGTTTTGATGAGTCTGTGACAAGGGTTTTGAAAGGCCTTGGAAAGTTGGCATTGGAAGGAATTGAGTGTGGCGATCTAAGTTTCACCAGAAGAAGAGTCACTGGTGCATGCCTTCTTAACGACACAGAAGAATTTGATGGTTTTGGACTGCTAAAAGTTCTCCTTCTGTTTCAAATCCACGGAACTGAACGCAGCTATCATTTTATGCACTTGACCGTGCAAGAATATCTTGCTGCCTACACTGTTTTCCAAATGGATGAACAACAACAAGGTGCTTGGTTGGGAAAGAATCTTACTAACAGCTCCTGCGAGAAAGTGATCAAATTCTTCTGTGGGATGGACCGGTTCAAGTCACGCCCTGCAAAGGTCCTCTTTATTCACGCTACCACTCCTTTCGAACTGGAATGCGTATTTGAAGGTCAGTGGGAAGACTTTTGTCAGAAAATAGCCGAAAAAATGTGCAATAAGCTCTCCATTACCCATATGAGACATGTCGAACCTTACCAGGCTCTTGTATATGGTTATGTGATGACAAAATCAAAAACCCAGTGGCATCTTCAGTGGAGCAACTGCATTGTTGAAGAGCATGTGCTGAAAGGCATGAGCCGACACTTGCTTAAGTCCCCAACAGCTCTTACACAGATCTCAATGACACGTAGTACTTTTGCCACACATAAAGCTGTAGTATTGTTCTCAGAACTCATTCAGTCACAAGTAGATCTTTTCGAGCTCTCAGTCACTGGAGTGAAACTAGACGAAGATAGCTTCAGCGTAATCTGCAAAGCACTTGAAAATAAACCGACTTTGAAAGCTATCGATCTTTCTAAGAATGGCCTTTCAGAGAGAAGCTCTGCGGAACATATTGCTTCATTGCTACCCAAACTGCCTTCACTTCAGGCATTAGATGTTAGTAACAACCACCTAGGAGAAGATGGCTGCCGGATTATTCTCCAGGCTGCAGCTAACAGCACGTCTCTTGAAAAACTTTGCCTACCAAAGCCACAAAGTGACTCACTTTCAGTATACATTGGTGAACTTAATGCTAAAAGGAAGGAGAAAGACTTGGTAATTTCTTTCATTTGAAGTCTTTTCCCTTATACTTCTTTCATTGGGACACTTTTTCAACTCTTCTCATGTAACACTTTCTCAGATTTTTTATGACGAACTTTTTTTATCATGAAGTGCTCTTTCATAGGCTATGAGGTATATGTTTGTCCCTATTGCTAAACCCAAAGAAACATGATTGGTTTCTAACACAATCGTTAGCTTTTAGGGAAACGGAAGTAGGTGTGCTTTAATTAAAACCTGACAGGGAGATTTTCATCCCATCTGGCAGATTGGATGGTCAGAGCCCAGGCATAATTATTTTGCTAAACATAGCTATTCAACACGTATCTTTTTCATTTTCGTGTCTGCTTAAGAAACCGCTCTACGTTATGTTGGCGCATGGGCATTGTCGGCACAGAGTCGGTCATAAAATGTGCAGTTCAAACAACTAGTTGAGCATGTCCGCTGTGTGTATGTGTGAGCACTCTCAAAGTGCCGAATCTTATTGTGTCTCTACCTTTGCTGGAAAAACCATCACTGTCAAAGTACATGTCACTGTAGTGCCCGAAATGTTTTAAGCCGTCTGCTTCACAAAAGAAAAGCACTACTACAACTATTGAGATAGCCAACCATAAACAATCTCTGATAGCCTTTTAGTAAGGATATGTCTAATAATTTATGACGTTAGATTTTCTGAGACTTACTTTGGTATATATATAATGAGACACAATGTTAACCTCAGCAACTGCTGAGCTCTCTACATTCTTTCCCCCAAACCATTATGATACGCCACAAAAATACTGGTAGGTTTAATTGCAAAAACTGCTGTAAACATTGCATCGACGCAAATTATCCCAGATAGGTTGGAATTACGTAAATGCAGCCTTTAACTTCCCACAAATTTGCTACCTAACATGGTATAAACTATCACTAAAGCAGCAATGGCCTCTCTAATAGTTAACTTCTATGTGTAGTTAGCAGCAGTGCTACTTCTATGTGTACTGAATACGGTAGGCAGGGTAAGCCTTGTCATTGTCGTAGGCCATAAAGACTTGGGATCCTCCAGTTTCGCCTCTGACCGTATCATATCGAGCTCTTCCACAATTAAACCCTCCACTTCCCATGGTCCCTTGCTTCTCTGGTGGCAGACGGAGGGAGCAAGAAGAACATTGGTAGCTATCTCCTGTGAGGACTTTGACCATGAACATTTCCTTTGTCCCATCACTCCTGGTGTAGGCATACCTATTGGAATAACTTGCATTCACGGCAAAGTAATTTGCTCGTCCCCACATTCCTTCACGGCTGAATCGCATGTCAAAACCATCTTCCCCTTCGTAGATCAGCTCCGGGGGATTGCTGCATGTGCCGTGGAATAGCTCCTTTTCATTGACACTTCCATTGTTCTTGAAGGAGAGTCGCTGCTTGTGCTGGACATATCTCTCCCACAGCCACTTGTTCTGGATTCGGGTCACCTCAATGACCCTCACACTGGGCAGGGTCCTCTCGAAATTCCCCACCACTCTACTCCACTCTGGTGAGCCCTGGGCTACTCGGCACAGCTGGAGGTTCTGTGTCTGATCAGGCTCCCACTCAGGAGGCAGTTCCACTGCTGACTGCTCAGCTGCAGCGACATGGTAGTTGATGATCTCCTCCTGTATAGCACTTGTTGCTTTGGTCACCGAAGACGAAAGACCTTTAAAGGTCACACGTTTCTTTGCCTCCATAGTACCACCTGCTAAGGCGAATTCAACAAGGTGGTTTTGTGTCAAAATTTCCATTACTTTGCCCTCCAGAGAACTTGGGAATGTGATGTCTTTGCTGTCTAGTGCTACGTCTAGTGTGCTTTGAAGCCTACTCTGCGCGGCCACAAGGTTTGTCTTAGGTCCACGGAGAACAATAATAGCTTGCGTCACGAGAAAATCCCCTGACTTTGGATACGTAGCAAGAACACTTAGCTCGTTTCTGATTTTGGCATTCATAGTGGCACACTCGGGAGTATCAAAATAGGGCACGAGGCATGGATTGACGGGGAAGCTCAGATCATCTATTTCTGACCGAATCTCTTCAATTACGTTTTGACGAATTAGGGGCTCGACTATATCAAGGGATTCTTGACTGCCTCTCAGTTTCAGCACGCATTTCGGGTACTTGAGAAACTGGACATTCACAGCGTGTGGTTTAGAGAGCTGGTAGACCTTAGTCATGTGAGTAGAGGCTCTGCTGGGAGGTCCCTTAGACCTAGTGCATAACATTAGGCCAACTACAGGGTCATCGACTGCAATTTCTCTCTCCATCAGAGTTAATTTTCCGGCGTATTGCTCAATCTCTGCTGAAGCTGCTTCGAGCTGATCCCCACGTTCAATTGGTGCTGTTAAAATCACTCTCTGCCCCTTGACATCAACATACATATTGACAATGTATTGGTCAATTACTTGGAGCTCTCTCTCTTTCTTTGCTTTATCCAAGTCTTTGATGGTGTTTTCAGGTAGTCTTATAATTTTTGAAGGGGCAGTTTGTGGATTGGAAAGGTCTTGCACAACTTCACTTATTCCATCTTCGTCTCCGCCACAGACAGTGACATCATAATCAAGGCTCTTACTCTCTTCCTCCCCGATGTTGCTCTTTTTAAAGATATTGATAACGAGGTCATGCATTTCCTCCTTTTCCTTTCTAACAGCTTCCCAATGCTTCCACCACATTCTGTTGTACCTCTTCTCGACTGTCATTGTAAAGACTTTCACAACGTGGTGGGCACTCCTCATTTCATCAAGCCTCTGGCTCACTTCCGTTACCTTTTTCACTGTGCCTTCAATGCGGATCAGAACACTATTGCTGCCAGCTTCATTTCTCCATGAAACTTTACACACTCTCTGCAGGTCTTCCAAATCCTTGGCTTTCTTCTTCTGGAAATATTTCATTTGATTCTGATCGACTGGTATAGACTTTCTTATGACAGTAGTCGATTCTATTTCTTCCCTTAACTCATTGAAACACAGGTGAACTTCCCCTTCGGTAAGGCCAAATATTAGTACTCTGTTGGAGTCGTTTTTGATTATCATATTAACCCTGTGTTTTTGTTCATAATGATCTTTCTTTTCTTGTATCCTTTCGATGCTTTGCCTTGCATTGACATGCTTGAAACTTGGAGTGACATCTTTCAGGGCAGCCACGGCTTTTTCGAAGACCTCAGGCTCCTGACTGAACACTGTGACAGTGAATTCTGACTCTTCGCTCCTTGCTAATCCTCTCCTCCCCTTCCTTTGGTCTGGCTCTACTTCTGAGCCACTTCTTACGAATTCAAAACCTGGGTGCTCCTGTTTTATTAGTTTGAGGATGTACTTTTCGATTTGAAAGAAGAATTTCCCCTGTGCTGTGAAAGTGAATGACTGGAATTGTAAACCACACAATAGTGGCCCCTCAATGAGCTGCTTTTGACTGCTTAAAATATCCGAATTACTTCCTTCAAACGTTATTGAACCGTTTCTCTCAACTATCACTTTAGCCGGCAGTGCTTCAAACACCTTTTCTGTCGCTTCCTTTTGATATTTTAGTTTGCATTGTAGGTATTGACTTTGTTCACGGCTGCCTTTGAACGCAAACACTTGAACAGAAAATAATGCTACTAACTTTCACTTGGGCTGACAGTACATCCTGCCTTACAAAGCCCTTTATAAATATCTTCTTTTGTGCTTCATTCATCTCGATGGAAACCGCAAACTCAACCTCAACTTCTTCAAGAGGAATTTCATTGGAGGAGCAGCTGACATTAAAGGGGATACATCTCATGTTGGGCTTTGAACGAACAATTTTGAGAGCTTTTTCCCGAATTTCGGAAGAAAACGAGTAGATTATAACCTCATGGGGAGACCCAGGTGATGGCAAGATCCAGACTGAAATCCCTTCACTTTTTATTCTCTTTCGCAGTGATGCCTGATACTTTTCGTAGGGGAACTGAATGCATTCAACGGACTTTTGGAAGCTGGCAATGACGTTGTCAATCATGCGACGTCCCTCGTCCACCCCACTCTGGGGACCACTCAACTTCAGTACACTGGCCTCTTCACTGAAGCCTTCCAGGAGAACTCCGTACTTCTGCGTCATTTGGGCTGGGAGGTCGGGGTATATCTCAACCATGGCTTGGGCACATTCCCTGCAGAAACACAGTATGAATCCATAACCACATGACGTTATACATGATGCGTTTTACAGCACTTCACTCAATTTGTGCAATAGAGAGTGTTAGCTACTTACAATTCAATGGGGATGTGTCTCTGTAGTTGAGACCTGAAGTGCCAATGTGCACTTTCCACTGTATCCCTCTGGCCAGTGAACCGAACAGCCATTTCAGCTAGGAGAAGATCAATCTTTACGTTTGGATTAGTTTTGAACGGCTCTGTCAACCCTTGGTAGAGACTGGAGCCCCCTGGGTTGACTGATGTCAGAAGGTTGCACTGAGCAGAGGTGAGTGGCAATAGCTCTTGAGTAGTGGCTGAATCACTAACACTGTACAAAGAAGAGAAAACACATCAATGAGCCGAATGTTAGCAGTGTAAATCCTCTATGCTATTTGCAAAATTTTTGCTGAATTTCAGGTCCATATAATATATTTAAACTCAGCGTCGAATAACCTCACATAGTCACTTAAAAACAGTAAATTTGTATGTATTATACCTCCAAAGCTCTAGCAACTTACCAAGGTTTATCATGAATGACTTTGACTTCAACCATAGCTCCACCAATGTACGATCCATTGAGAACTTTGACAACTGAGCAAGCCTCTGCTTCTTGGCTAAATTTCACATATGCCAATGGTGGACAAACATCCTCGACTTTAGCACTTTTGTATGCACTGAAAAGATCTGTTAGACACTTCCAATGTTCATGGATTTGCATCTTGGGGTTTAGGTTTGACACTTCGACTGTCACAGCCTGTGGTGGCGAGGGCTGTGCCTCTGTGTTTCTAGGTCTAGGTGACCTCTTTGAAACATTGACAGCCATTCCGTCAATCACCTTTTGATGAAACATCCTTACAGCATTTTCAGCTTCGGGCTCACTTTTGAAATTGACGAGGGCGTACCGATTGGTCGTAGAGAAAACTTTGCATTCTATAATTTCTCCCGCTTCACTGAAAATGTGACGAATGCTCGACTCATCTAAACTTGCTGCCAACTGTGTTACCTTGACTGGATACATGTAGCTTTCTGCTGGATTCAGTTGGACTGATACGAGGGAACCACCAACCACAGACTTGTTTAAACATTCTACCGCGGAATTAGCTTCTGTGGCATCACTAAACTCAACATGTGCCGTAGGTGGACACACGTCTTTGACTGTTGCACTCTTGTATGCACTGAACGTTTCGGTCAAACACTTCCAATGCTCATGGACTTGCATATTAGGATTCAGATTTGAGACCTGAACTGTCACAGCCTGAAGCTGTGGTTCAGTGGAAGGTGGGTGCACATTCATTGTGGAAGGTTCCCTTTTTGATACGTTGATAATTCTTCCATCTATAATTGGCTTTCCGTGAAACATGCTCACAGCTTTATCTGCTTCAGATTCACAGCTGTAATTAATGAGAGCATAGCGATTGGCCGTTTGAAATACTTTGGAGGTTACTATTCTTCCAGCCTGGCTAAAAATCTTGCTGAGATGTTCTTCACTTACCGTTGCAGGCAACTGAGTAACTTTAACAGGATAAATCAGATTCATAGCTGCTCTAGGGCTCTTGGGTTGTTGAGGCATGGGAAGAGGCTGAACGAAACTAGCACACACTGTGTGACGAAGGAAGACCTTTCCATTGAGCTTATCTAGTGTCTTTTTTGAAGAGGCATATGAAGAAAACGTGACGTTGACTGTTTTAGTCTTGGAGTCAGCATGCACAACCTTGAAATCGGTCACTCCACCTTCACATAATGTGACTATACTCTCCCTGTCTAGTTCAGGGCTGAGGTTTGACAAGCATAATATTGTGGTTGAATGCTCAGGTGGTGGAATGCACTGAGGCAGTAGTGGAGTAATGGGCTGCGTCACACTTACCGCATGGGGCAAGCAAGCTTGGGAGGCTAAACACTTTTGTGGAGATGGTGTACCCTTGTGCTTTTTGGTTGCCAGGCTTAGTTTTAGTTTGCAACCATGCAGTGTACTACAATTGAGCCTCTCTACAACAGATTCAGCTACTTGCTTTGATTTGAAAACGACAAATGCATAACCTTTTGTCTGCTTTGTAATTCGGTCTCTCGTGATGTATGCCTTGTCTAGGCAAGATTCAAACTCCCAAAAATGTGCTCTTAGGTGGGAGTCTTCAATGCTACTTGGTAACCTTCCTTCGTGAGCGGAAACATGTACACTACAAGATTCACCATCAGAGGGTGACGGAGAAAGCTTTTCCTTTCTTGGAGAGGGCTTTTTGGTTTCCTCTCTATATTCACGAGCCTCAATTTTATGCATCCCTTTTAGAAGGCTACTATTCAAAGCGGAAATTGCATTTCTACCAACATCAGGTGGGGAAAATTCAATGTACCCACACCCCTTTGGTTTCTTACTTTTATCATGGTATAAGGTTATATTTCTGACGTGGTCTGAGAGCCCCAAACTCCTGAGGTGGCTCTCCATGTCGTCTTTGGTGACCGAGAGAGGAATTTTTCTCACAAAGACCTTGAACGAAGGCTCTGCCACCAGTTGTGGCAGGTGACTGGCTGAATCACTGCACACTGACTCTGCGTCTGAGTCTGAATCATGTTCCGATTCCTGCAGTACAGCACAAGTTTTTATCAATGTGTGCTTTAGTTCAAGTTGAATATTGATAATAAGTGTAGGAATGCCAAACTTTTTTTATGCATACAAGTAGATAATAAAGGAATTCACCATTATGAATATAATTATTTATAATGAAAACAGGAAACAGCAATTTTGTTACTACACACACACATGTTATTGTCCCACAGTGCTAATACTTGGGTTTTGAAAAACTTTCCATGGCTTGGGATTCAAAACTGGATATTTTCACCAAAACACTCCAAATCTCAAACACAATAAATATGTTTTCATACCTGACTACCTTGAAAGCTCCCAAAATTGCTTTCCATTGCAATCCTTGAGGAAATAGAGATAATCTGTTATAATAAGCATACACTATTGTGCTGAGGTAAAAGGCCCATCTTTTACTTGTGCAATTTGCCAATAATCTGAGATCATGGCAGTGGAGGGCAAGCTTCATGAAACTAAACCACTAAACCGAGTGAGAAGGAGAAGGAAATTTCTGCAATCTGAAGTGTTACATCAGCCTCAGAATGTACGAGAGGCAGTGGCCTTTTAAACATGCTAAAGCTGGGCTCACAAAACTGATGGTCATCAAGACTGTGGGAACATGCTTCCCTGGAATATATAATACTTTGTTCAATCTTGAGACTTTTTCGCTATAGATTTTTTGATACCAAAGTCTGAAATGTCCACTAATTTTCCCAGGAAAGCACGTTCCCAAACTCTCAGCATCTCAGCTAGTTAGCCTGTCGCACCGACACTAACTGCGCGCGTTCAATTTCCTCACGTCGTCGTGACAGTCGGCACAGTATAATACGTACGCACTCGCTCTTCGGCACGCGCACGTATGGCACGCCGCGTGGGCTGCAACCGACCGTCAACTGAAGAAATGGACTTACTATTCAAATCTTCTTAGAGATATTCCTCTGTAGGATTGCTCTGTGCATCAAGAATGAAAGTCAGGGAAGCTGAAAGCCGTTTTTATGCTGCGCGTCCCCGTCCCCCCGGCCCCCAAAGTTCAACGTTCAAAGTTCAAAGTTCATTTTGCAGGACCCGAGGGGCATATGCATACAGTCAAACAGTCAAGGTATAAACATGAAATCTGAAGTTCCAGTCCAGATAATCGGAAATACGATAGAGTCCCCGCTCTGACTCCAACCGGAGCATAATCTGGCACCTGGCGACCAGATAGAGCCCACGCTCTGCTGGACAGCTGAAACTTGGGTCGATGACTCGTAATCTCGGCAAATGACAGCCATATTTTCTGACTGCTGGTCAATGACACTGGAGCACAGAGGGTAGAGCGATACGATACCTCATGTCCATAAAACAGACGAAGTTTTATGAGAAGGAGACGTTCGCCATTTTCCTGAGCCCAATCGAGTCCGCGCATGCGCAGTGTGTGGCAAGCGTATATCGATCGGGCGTATTCTAAAATTTTTGGGTTTTCTCAGCTATAGCTACGTAGCTAGTTAGCCTGGCAGCGTCATCCTACCAAAAACACTCAGGTATAAGGGATAGCTGTACAGCCAAAGAGAGCGAGAAGCACTAACAAGTGGTTGGAAGTCTATCACTTGAGCTTTCACTCTGCACCCAGACTCTAGGCTCTGTGGTGGGAGTTCATACGAACTACTATCAACCCTTAAAAATAACGTATTCATATTCAGAGAAGTTCTGTACGCTGGGACAGAGTTCATGTTTTAGTACCTGGAATGATACCTCATGTGCATGTGTGTAATTGAAAGAGGATTTCCCCTTTACTTTAGAAGTGTAGTCCCTAGCTACTCCACTTCTTATGCATGCAATAGTGAACAATCCCAGAGCTAAATGTTTCTAGCACAGTCATCCCTTGATTGGCTCAGTTATTCGTATATGCATATTTAGGGAACCCTTGGCACCCCCAGTCTGCTCCTCCCTAATTATTTTTGGGCCACAGCTCAAAGAGCCTTTGCCGGTGTATTAGCCTTTAAACCCGGCCTTTTATACCTGAGTAACTCAGTGGGTTGAGTGCTCACATAGATAGTAGTGTGTCATGGGTTCGACTCCCACCCACGGCAGCTTTTGCATTGGATTACACTTGCTTATGCAACCATGGAGATCTGGGTGTGCACTTCTTTATCTGAGGGTTCACCATTTCAAAGCGCATGGGAAACAAAATTGGGTGGATCACCACCCCCTTTATAGCTACCAGTTGTGAGGGGTGTTGTTGATAGACACTCCAGCTGTGTGGGGTGGATTTGACGTGGTTTTCGGACACTGCACCTCGTTCCAAGTTGTGAGGGGTGGTTTTCATCTAGTTGAGAGGCACTCCACCAAATTGTTTGACTTGGTTTGGGGCACTCCCCCTTCCTTTTAGCCTTGTGATGGTTTTTCACTGTGTGGGGCAGGTTTTATAGAGAGGTGTTCTAAGCGGCTGGCCAGATCCAAATAGCCACACCCATTTTTATGCTCATCTCCATCGTTTGTGTTAGTATAGTGTAGCTATTAGCATGCCAATGTCCTCCTGCATAAATGTGTATGGGTCGCAGTAAGGGATCACATGAAGGCAAAAAACAATGTAGCTAGGGATCACACTACACAAGTGGACCAGACACTCTGCATTAGAATCCACAACACTGTATAGAAAGTAACGTGAACATGTGTGTGCAAAAACAAAGATAGGGAGTCATTTTTGCTCTAAGAAAGTTGCAGCTTTTAAAAATATCCACGGCATGTCCTGCCGTTTATAGTCAGCCAAACAGCCTGAATGTACAGCTTGGTGTAGGTTGGAAAGGTGATAATAATAATAGACACACTGTTATACACAAACATGTAGGCACACAAGCAAAGAGATAACGGATTGTATCCTCTATATTCCTTCTCCATTTTGAACACGTTTTATACGCCCTAAGAAATGTGAGACAGCAGGGGTAGTAACCTTTCTCCTACAATATTCATGTTTTCTGGGTATATACAAGTTTCTTAGTCATATCATACCCGGAATACTAGAGAGCAGGTGGGGGGGGGTGGGAACCCCAAAGTGTTTTCCTGTGTACAACTAAAGTGGGACTTTCAATATTACTTCGTATTGACAACAATTCCACATTCAGCATATTCACAAAAATGTGCCAATCTATAACACTATAATCCCCAAGGCTGGCTGTACGCTCAGACAAATAAGTCCAGTATCTGTAGCTATACATGTGTTGTTTGTCAACTATAGCAAACCTCCACTTTCACAATGCATAGTCTTGGTCTTTATAAAGACGTAACGTTGGCTAAATCGAGACCTGTCACTCACTGTATGGATATTGTGGGGATCAGCTAAGGCTATGGAGATAATTCCTCTTTTGACGGTAATAGCAGTCTGTCAAGGACCACTTCACTGTGAAGGTAAAAATAATTTGAAGACATTTGTGTATTACACCAAACTCGTAATAGGAGTAACGTTCTTTCTAAGAGATGAGGCAGTAGTCACAACCAACAGCAGTAGCTGTCTTGCCATCACTGATATTGGAGACAGTGTACAAGGTGCTCTTGTCTGCCAGCCAAGTTTGCTCCCATGGACCAAATCTGACCAGTGGAAACTGGTACCTCAGTAGTGATGATGGTCATGCAAACAGTACGGCTGAAGGGGACAGGGTTGCAGGGGAGGATCCTCGAGGCTGGGCTAGTGATGTGGTGACTAATGGTTCAGATGGTCATCTACTAGTGAGACTGTGGAGAGTGTCAGAGTCTGCAGTGGAAGGATCATTCACTTGCAACATTCCTGGAGATACCTACACTCCCAAAACATTATACATCTTCTCTTCCAGTGAGACACCCATCTGTACAAGTTAGTAGTAGTGTGTTTGGGTAAGCCTTTAGTAGGGACTAGCTATCCATTACAAACATTCTAAGAACCAAACAGACAACCGCAAGTAGTGTATGCAGTGGGTAGTGTATGCTGAGTGGGTAAATTCTTGCCCACCCACCCTGAATGACCGCAGAATATGCCAGATTTCATGGAATACTCTGTAAACATGCATTGGTGAACTGTTTTTCACAGTCATTTGGTAGTGGTATCTCCCATCTTCTACTAGATGTTGACTGTTTCTTCCTGGGTAGAGGTATGACTGAGGCTGGGAAAGCATGAAGGATTTTTATAGTAAAAGTGCATTTCGATCTTGGCTCTTATAGTAGGCTAATGAGTAATTTCTTGGTTGGGGAAATTTTAGAATAGTTTCAGGAAGGTTAGGTTATAGGAGAATATATAACCCCAGCATTTCTAACTGTCCCAGTCTCAGAGTGCATCTGGTGAACTGCAGGGTGTCGACAAGGATAAGGATAATGTGGATGAGAGGCAATAATACAGGCACACTAACGTTCACTGCTGACTTGAATGCTGTTGTTACCACTAGTCCCATAGCCATTCAGGCCATAGCATTGCTCCGGAAAACCTTGGGAAAAATTGACCTTCCATTTTCTTTTTCTCTCTAAAAACCGTTGCTTGGTAAACTTTAGGGAAAAAGTATACACAGAATTGTGTGCCTTAAGTGTTTTCCTAAACAAACATCCTGCTCATTACTGAAACACAGGTACTGCTGTGACTCCAACCAATGTTAGAGCCAAAGCAGTCAGTGCTACTAACATGACTGTTATATGGGATTATGCAAAACGGCTTTGGCTAATTTGTGGTGTTGTGGAAGGCTTCAGAGTTGAGTGGACAGCGGTGTCTGGTGGAGAAGTCCACTATCAAGTCCAGACTGGAGACTTATCAGAGGCCCAATTGACTGGACTCACTCCATTCGCCAGCTATTCCATTTCCATAGCTGCTGTGAACAAAGAGGGTCAGGTGGTGGGAACTTACAGTCAGCCTTTAACTATTAAGACTAACGAAGACAGTGAGTTTGTTCGGTAGTAGTACTTACGTCACATTATGGTTACATTCCAGTCCCTGGTCCGGTAGAAATTGTACTGATTTCCTCTTTGGTACAAATTGGCATCACATGGAGTAAGCCAGCCAGACCAAACGGGATCATTACAGACTATGAAGTATCGTATGGACAAAAGAATTCCTCTAGACTCACCTCGGCTAATACTGGTCTTTTGACTAACTTCTCGGTGCGTGTGAAACTAGGAGCTGAATTTACTTTCACTGTGAGGGCCTTCACTCGAGCTGGGCCTGGAGAACCAACTACTGTGGCTGTGTCCACACTGACCAAACCACGTAAGCCATGGCCTATAATCCCATTCTGTTGGTATACCTTCATTGCTATAGCTATTGTTGAAAATGTGGTGGTGGTATCTTTGAATGAGTCCTCTACTAATGTGTCATGGAGAGCTCTGGATGTCCCATTCCTGCCAGTCAGCTACACTGTTGTCTACAGCCCCGTGTCCCAGCCTCCTATGGAGGAGAATAATGAGAGTGCAGTTGTGTTTCCCCCGCCAGCTACATCTGGAGTCATCACTGGTCTGGTAGCACTGACCACCTACCAGATCCAAGTCTTTGCTACTGTTACTGTGGATGGTGCGGAGATAGCAGGGGAGAAGAGCAATCTGGTATACTTTGTAAATGGTGAGTTTCAGCTTTGATTCAATTGCTATTATTGGTAAGTACATAGTTAGAACACAGATTTTTGTGTCATTTCGAGACCGTGCTAGCCTGTTAGGGTAGTTTTCTACGGTAGCATGGGAATTTGTAGAGACAACTAGCTACCAATGTACAGTTATAGATGCTACACTGTTGATTTTTTTTATTCATGTTCCATTTGCAGAGTATTCCCCATCTTCACAAGCTAACCCACCCTCGCTATCTATTGTGGTTATTTTACTCACTGTGGTGGTAGTCCTCTGTGGAATTGCAGTCTTAGCAATATTAGTCATGTTATTATATAGAAAGAAGAAAAAGCAAAGGTACTATAATTATTCTGGCAAAGGCTTTACTGGTCATATTATTATAAACTCCGTATATAAATGTGTTTTCTGTGTTTGTTATTTTTCCAGAAGCTCATATTACGTCACTCCTACATATGAAGAACAGCATTATGTACTAAGTAAGAACATACTTGAGAGTGCACAAATTATTTGTGTTTTTTAATGTATAGATAAAGGTAGACAATCTGATTTATTGAAGCATCTGTGGGAGCAGCTTGACAACAAGAGTATGATATACTCAACTCATCAACTTCGGCTATCCACGGCCCTTGGACATGGTATGCACTGAGTGATAGAGCTTGTATGAAGTTTTAAGTTCATATTCTCTGGTACATTTTGTGCATGCCCAGTCTGTACGCCAAGTTGCTTTCTAGTGCCATGATCCTTTGCATATTTGGTCTGTGAAAAATAAAAGGCTTTACAAGATTTGTACTGCAGGCCTTACTTCTGTCCACATCAATATTATGGCCTAATTACCACAGGGGTGACTGGACAGGTCTACAAGGCATATATCAAAGCGAGTTGGGAGCGAACTTGTTGCAGTCAAAACGGCAAATGGTATCAAACTTATTGTTCAAGAGACTGATGCTCAATAGTTATTTCCTTAGCACTCTTCTTAACGTCTGACTTTGAAACACTGGCAAAAGAAGTTTCTACTGTGCTGTCCTTCAAGCATGTGAATGTATTGTCTCTGATTGGAGTTTGTATTGATGGAGAGACGCCCCTATTAATCATGCCATTCATGTCCAATGGAAGCGTGTTAGACTATGTGAGAAATCGCAGAAACAAACTACTAATTGACCAGTTTGAAGAAAAGGTATAATACGAACATCTTCTAATGCACACTTTCCTGTAAAAAAACCCATATTATCTCACTGTCTAACTGCAGACACAGATGGCATGTAAGACACACCTTCGTATCAGTCTTCAAGTCGCAAAAGGAATGGAGTATATTTCCAATCATCGGTTTTTGCACTGCAACCTCAGAGCAAGGAACTGCATGTATGACGTACATAATTATTGTGCATGATGCTACTACACAAAGGAACTCATATTGAGGCTATTTTAGTGGTTTGAGTAGTCCACTTACAATCACAATGCTTGAATGTGCCATATAGCCCATTACCCATACTAATGTACAGCATGTGAATTTCCGTGGCTGCCAGTATTTCTACTGTGCGATGTTTCGCATTTTTATATGAATGACAAACTGCTCATAATTATTATCGATCACAGGATTGATGCAGAAGGTGTTGTAAAGGTAGCTGATTATGGACTTACCCAGAGCACTAACTACTACCATCAAAGAAAGGCTGGAGTAAAACAGGAACCAATCAGGTGGATGACTCCCGAGACTATTGAGAATCGCATATACGCTGAAGCTACCGATGTGGTTAGTCACCTCAGAATTGGGTTTTCATTTAGTGTGATGGTCATATTTCTCCATTCAATCACCCAGAGCACTAACTACTGCCATCAAAGAAAGGATGGAGTAGAACAGGAAGAGAAACTTCCCATCAGGTGGATGGCTCCCGAGACCATTGAGAATCACATATACACTGAAGCTACCGATGTGGTTAGTCACCTAAGAATCGGTCATTTAGCGTGATGGTCATATTTCTCCATTTAGTGGTCATATGGAGTGACAATGTGGGAGATCTTTACCAGTGGGAGAGTGCCATATGCTGAGATACATGCTATGGGTGGTCTTCTGTGTGAACTAAAGGGTGGATACAGACTGGAGAGACCTGAAAATAAGGCTTGCAATGATGACATGTTAGTCTAGCAACTCACGTAGTGTAGTGAGCAGGCCACACAATAGTAAAAAAGCCTCCACACTGGACAAAAGCCGCTAGTTAAACCTTATCACGGCAAAATATTTCTCATTGGTCCACAACTGGCTATTCACAAAGATGTAATCCCTCCAGTCCATGAAGCATATCCCCACCATTGAAATGAAAAGCACTAAAGTGCAAACCCTCGGCACACTATATAGAAATGTGGAACCCATTATACAAGTGTTAACCACAATTGATGGTCTTGACCATGCATCAAAAAGAACAGCATGTTATGCACCATTTCCATGGTCAATAGGTTGAAAATAATGGCCAGCCCTATTTCTGTTTGAGGCCCAAAAAATAGAATTGCCAACCTTTTGATCTCTCTATTAATTTTCGTATTACCCGTGGATTGTTTAGTGTAAAAATACCTAAGGTTGAAAAAACCGGCCAGCCCTTCATCTCTCCAGACAGACGTCTACGGACACAGTGCAATGCCGAACTATACGCTACCCTTTGAGAAACGTGGGTCAGGGTAGATTTGTGGGTAAGGGGAGGAACCAGAGCTGTTCCCAGCCAATGCTCTGGACCACCTGACACTTTAGTGCGGGATCGAGGATACGAACCGGGCACCTATGGTGTCAGTCCCCACGACTCTAACCACCTAGCCACTCGGGCTGGCCTTGAGAGGTGATGAAAAAACGTTCCAGTTATACCAACACTCCTATTACATCATTGTAAAAAAAGGCGCACAACCGCCATCGAACCAGGATCTCACGATCAAGAGGGGGTGCTTATCCATCAGACCCCCACCCATTACTTGAATGGGAACAGTGTAAATGCACTAAAGTGCAAACCTCCGCGAACTGCGCATGCGCGATACTGGGGTTCGTTTGTCACATGTACTTCATCTTGCGCCTTACAGCTCTGAGACATACATAAGGTGTTTCTAAGCATGGGTGTAAAAATTCCTGTAATTATGACCCACTATCTGTTTTCACTTATGAGATATATATGACCTATTTTTTTGCTGTCACAGATACGACATTATGCTTTCATGCTGGGAAAAGGAAGCAACTGAGCGCCCAAAGTTCTCAGACTTGGTTGACACAGTCAATGACCAAATGGAGAGAGACTCTGGACACCTGGAGCTCTCACTAGCGCCCACTGGTCAAATAGCATCTCCGCCACCATCCCCTAGAGCGGAGGTTGAGCTGAAGGAGTTACATGTTCTTGGGCCTCACATGCATGATGTCACTGGTGCAGTGCAAGGCTCTTGTTCCACAGAGCAGAACACAACAGCCTGTTAAAGACTTACACTAAGTATTGCCAATAACAATGCAGCAATGTGTTACACTGAGTCACTTACATAAAGATTGATCCCTCACTTAACCTATATTATATAACCACCTTACTGATATGTACATAGTGTACGGACGATGTTATATCACTCATGCTATCCAGGTCAGCACATATGCGCTTACATTACCTCTATGCAGTTGCTTAATGCTATAGTAGCTACATGAACCGGGGCGAGCGGGGAGAGCAGCCTGCAGAAAATTTCGGGGAAAGTCCCTTATGTGGACACCTGTGCATTTGCACATAATCACAAGCCATTCAGACCACTATGTTTGCTCGCTCCTCGACTCTTTCATTAAACCCCCTGATCACATGTAATACTACCATTTTTGTTGATCACACACAAAAGGCTATATATTAGCTACAAAGGCAACTGTATCGTTCAGTAATTCATGGCATAAGAGTCTGATAATCAGCACCATTGGTGTCAGCTTGATCCTCTCCTCCGTCGTTCACTGGTTTGCACATCGTCCCATACTCCAACTGACCTACTGGGGTCTTGGATGAACCTGATACGCTATTCAGGAGCTTTTTCTTGATGTACCAGGAGACAGCAGACAGGGCTATGGATGGCAACAGTCCTGCCACTATCCCATTCAGTCCACTGGGTCTCAAGGAGATATAAAGGAAGGAGTACATGGCAATCATGATTATGACTGCACTAAAAACAATGGTGAGCATAGAGATGCTTCCTAAACAGGTGACGCATTGTCGATAAAGTGGCAGTTTCTCATTTTGAAAGGCTATAAAAAGTGAGTAAGAGACAGACAATAGAAGATGAGTTAACAGTGAAATGTACATCAAGATGAAAAAGGCTATTGAATCATCAACAAATTTTATGAACAACATAGAGATAGCGTCCATAATGCCCCGATAGACAAAACTCATAAAACTGAAAAGAACCAGAACTCTCATTGTCTTAGCTCTACATCGTGGAGAGCAGCACACACAACAACAGAAACAAGAGAAACAAAAGGAGATGTTTATCACAACTTTAGCCATTCCTTTAATGGGAATGGGAATATCATGTTCACTTCCCAAAGAAGCGATAAAAGCACCAATAAAAAGCACCACATGGACAACTAATTCTTGGACACAAGGCACAATAAATATTTGGGAGGCTGCACTGTTGAACACTGCACTGTTGAACACTAGCCACCACAGTGAGCCTCTCCCAACAGCAAACACTAGACCATAGATAAATGAATTAGAGACTACAGCCATTCCCCAGTAGAGGCTTTTGTACTCAAGTGTAGTAGATGCTTTGGAGACAATTTTGTTATGGATTGCTGGGAAAAAGGTAGCAATTATCAGTGCCAAGGACAATGAAACAAGCACATATTCTGACAAACCAACGTTGGTCAAACCTATCTCAGGGTTAGTAAGATAATCATACAGCTCATCTGAAAATATCACAGTTCCCTTTTGATTCTTGTCCCATGTCTGTGGTCTGCTTTCAGGCTTAGAATACGAGTATATCTTAACCTGTAGTCAGTAAGCAACATTATCACAATAATTATTTACCAAAGAATTATACCTACCCAGCTTATTAACTCCGATAAAGCACACTCTGTCAGTGGTAATGGTGGGTTGCATTTAAGGGTGTCTATCTTCAGTCTCAGTGTAATATCGCCCTCATCATATGCAATTATTTTGACATATTTAGTTGCCATTGATTGTGCGAGAAAGGTTACAAAATTCCCATGTAGAAGAGACAGCCATACAACTCAGTCATACATTTTAAGTTTTGAAATCATCAAAAGTAGGTGAAATGAATGTTATTGTAAGAGAGTTACCGTAGCCATTATCAGCACAGAGTTCCCACACATTGTTGGAAGAGTTTTTAGGGCAGAATGTGTCTGAAGAAGAGTTGTTATCACACCTGCTTGAGAGGTCAGTTCCATTCTCAACTTCTAGATGAACACTAAAATTTATCCGAACGTCTTCTGTACTGATGAAGCCATGTTTCAATATGTTTAGGATCGTCTGGTTGTTGATGAGAGCCTCCTCCAGCTTGGAATAGAGAAGAGAGTATTGCCAGTCAAAGAATGAGTCATCATAAAATCCATATGAATCACAAATTGTGTTGGCCTGCACCAACACAGGACACACAGCCGCAAGAATCAGCAGCGACACTTGCA